TCAGCCTGATAACATTTTACTGGGAGGCCTATCTGCTCTACGTCCTAGATCTTTCCTTACTGTAAGCATTTGGTATCACATCCGCACAGTGGTGTGTCCATGTGTCAGGGGTACTTATTCCATGAGTCTGGTAGTCTCGGTCATCATGTGAATTCTGTTCCGCTAGGAGCTGGGTGGGACTCTGGCTGGGATACGACTGTCCAATGTTCAGGGGCACTTTTTTTAGAGGGACGAAAGATCACACAATGTGCATTGCCTTGGTCATTTCAAGCTGCTGTAAGGAATCCAGCCGAACTGAGCCGAACTTGGACGCTCAACCGACTGTGCCACCCGGGCGCCCCTAATTGTTAATTATTTTGATAAAGTGGCTTTCCTTCCTCTCTAACCTAGCTATTTAGGTTATTTACTTTTTTCCCCCCATTTAGACTGTGGTCCTTGCAACTGAGGAAAGTTTTGTCTTTTCAGCTTTACGTGTTGAGCTGTCCTCTTACTAGTAGAGATCTGCCTGCCCAAATTTATTGTTCTCTAAATTGCAGCTTAATAATTAGTTACTAGGTATTCGCTTAGAAATTGGGCACCCTCCTACACTGTTGGTGGGAATGGAAACGGGTGCAGCCCCTCTGGAAAACAGTGTGGAGGTTCCTTAAAAAATGAACAATAGAACTCCCCTATGACCCAGCATAGCACTGCTAGGAATTTACCCAAGGGACACAGGGGTGCTGATGCACAGGGGCACATGGACCCCAATGTTCATAGCAGCACTCTCCACAATAGCCAAAACATGGAAAGAGCTTAGGTGTCCACCAACGGACGAATGGATCAAGAAGATGTGGTTTATCTATACGATGGAATACTACACGGCAATGAGAAAGAATGAAATCTGGCCTGTGTAGCAGCATGGATGGACCTTGAGGGTGTTATGCTGAGCGAAATAAGTCAGGCAGAGAAGGACACATATCATACGTTTGCACGTATAGGAGGATTAGGAGGAACTTAACGGAGGACCATGGGGGAGAAGAAGGGGAAATAGTGGGGGAGAGGGAGGGAGACAAACCATGAGAGACTCTTGAATGCCGAGAACAAACTGAGGGCAGATGGGTGTGGGGGGGAGGGGAAGGGGGGGTGTTGGGCATGGAGGAGGGCACGTGTGGGAATGAGCACTGGGTGTTATATGGAAACCAACTTGACAATAAACTACGAAAGAAAAAAAGAAATTGAGTGACAATTCAGAAATGATTTAAGACTAGAAAGCTATTTTTTCCCCTCTCTTTCGTGGCTAAGTTCAGGAGTTATGGGAAAGATAATTGTGAAATTGATACATTGCACAGATTATCTTTGAGAGCTGAACCTTTCTCACATAGGAAGAGAGATTGGAAGGAATGATATGTTATGCTGTATGTAAATTTGGCCTTTCCCTGGGTTGGTTTTATGCCACCAGCACCTGGGAAAAGCACAGGAAGTGACCCTACCCAGTTAAATTCTTGAATGAATTAAAATTCATTAGTGTAAGCTCCATGTATTGAGTTGTGGGTTGTGAACATTTGGAAACCAGTATTTTTTTCCTCTCTGAATTGCCTTCTGTTTAGACAAGGTTTAGTAAAACCAGCAGCTAAACCAAGGAAAATACTACCATTTTTAGAATGGAGGAGCCATTCGACCCAGTGAATCCGTGTGTGACGCAGGCCGAGGAATTCCAACCCGCCCACGGCGACCTGTCCCTCCCCCGCCCTGGGATTTCCAGGCCCCTTGTCCAGCCGCGTCCCAGACTCAGCCCTGCTGGGTTTCACAGCGTTCGGCGCTCGCTGCGGCCGCGGCTGCGGTCATGCCAAGCGCGATTCCCCTCTGCTGCTTCAGGGGGGAGAAATCTTTTGTTCTACGGCAGAAAGGGGGAGAGGTGCTAGCTTGTTGTAGCTCTCTGCCCGGCCACCTCCGTGGGGCAGGGGGAGATGGTGTGGACGTGCCGGGGTCGCCAGTGCAGGGCCCGCAGCCTGTGTTTGTGCGGAAGTTCTTCTGGGAACACAGGAGTCTGGAGCCCCCCACCCCCATCCTTCCAGCCTGCACTGCCTGGACTTCTCAGTGGGGGAAGGCATTGTGACCTGGGGGGTTTCTTGGGGACGCGGGATGGGGCAGCTTCTTGTCTCCACGCCTGCCGCCCTTCTCGGAGCTCGTGGCACAGGGGCTTGCCTGCCCTCTCAGGATCTGGACCTGAGTATTCTAGGAGCCCTCAAAGGACACGGAATTGCCCAAGGTAGAAGTAGCCAATCTAGGGGTAGAAAGCCCAGAAACGTCAATCCTGTGGGTCCGTGACCTGCTGCAGTCACCGTCACCACTGCCCTCCTTCAGCCTCTGGGGTCAGTGGTGGCCCCAGGTAGGGAACCCAGGACTCCTGGTACCCAGAACACAACTTCTTTTCAAGCAAGGCTGGGGTAGGTGACCAGGGAGCCTGACTGGATTGGAAGGCAGAAGTCAGGGCGGCAGAGCAGTGGGGACAAAGGTACAAAGCACGCAGGTTCGAGAGCTCGGGTGCTGGCGGCTGGAGGAATGTGCTTGGTCGCCTTGCATTTCCACCCGGGCCTTGGGGCTGTGCACGGAGCAGCGTGCGTGCGCCCCTTCCCTGAGCATCCTGGCACTGGCACACGCTGGTAACTGGCACGCGGCTGGTGCTGGGGACAGGGAGGTAAATCAGTTCCTCTTGGTGTTGAATCAACCGTGATGAACAAACACATGCTGTGATGGGGAGAGGGTACGATTTGCAGATGCCTGCAGGCTCACCTGGACAGAGAAGCTGTTCTGAGCCGGAGTTCTGGAAGGCTGTGAATATGAAAGTATCTGATCCAGTCACACCAGTCGATTCTTTCTACACTTGAGTTGCCGTGACTGCCTTCCCTGCCTCGAAGTATGTTGGTGGGATGGGGTGGGGGGGAAACATTAGGACTGGATTCTGTTCCAAGTTGAAGGGGTTAATCAGAGTCATGGAAGTTTCTGGGAGGTCAGCGTTCCGGGTTCTAGTCAGGAGCCCTGCGTGGTTTGATCCTTTGTTCCAGAGCATCCCAAGAAGGTGGGTGTAAACCCTTGGGTCTCAGAAAGTCAAAGCTGGTGGGGTGGTGCCTGTTTCCTCTGTGTCCCTGGCCCTCAGCCCTCTGATGAGGCAGTCCCAGCTTGGGGGGCCTGGGGCCGGCCTCTAAGGGCACCTCGATGCTGGCTGAGGCAGGGGGACCTTCAGGACTTTCTCCTGGGGCCGGGGCTGGGGGGGAACTCCTAGCTCCCAGTGTGGCTGTGGGTCCCTCGGGAGCCCCGCGTCCTGCTCCTGGCATAGAATGACCAGCACAGTTTGGGGATGAGGGGGAGAAAGACACATTTTCATATCTGCTATTTTTGGAGTCCTTGTTACACAGGAGACCTTGAGGCCGTTTTCTTTAAAACGTGACAGATTCCTGCATAATTCTTACTCATGTCATACATTTATGAGGCTGAACTGCTGTGTCCTGAGCTGTCCCTTTGCTCAGCTGGTGGAGTGTAATTTGCTTTGGTCCATTTGCTTGAGAGTTACACTTGGCTGCTTAACCCCTGGAGGCAGTGGGGGTGGATGTGCTTTCTGCCGGACCTTCAGATTTAATATAACTGTTTGGGTTGGGACGCTTGGATCCTTCTTGCCATTATGCTATTTGATGTAGGATTTAGCATTAATTTTTATTCTTGCCATCAGACAGTTTGATGTGTGATCTCTTTATGACTTTGCATAAGCCCCACTCCCAGCCCTGGTGCAAGATTTTTGCAGAGAACAGGCGAGGCCCATTATCCCTGGGTTGCTTTCTGGCAGGCCTGTGAATTCTCCTTGCAATAACAGAACAAGGCGGGAGGAACTGATTTAGCCTCTCAAGGAAGAGGAGTAACTCAATTGACATTCCGTTGTAATTTAGCAGTCGGTTAATGGCCACTTACTGGAAAATGTTACCAGGCTCTGCGGTGAGTGTTGTTAGAAACTGAATTACTGTGTATATTTCCCCAGGGCCCTTTCCCCCTTCTCCTGCGCACTGTGCACACTCGAGCTGCAGGAAGTGGCATTGTGTTGCAATCATAGCTTCCTTGTTCCTCTGTATTATTTATTTTGTTTCAAAATTAAGTATATTGCCTTTAATGGTAGCAGAGATGTGCCAAGAGCCGAGGGTGACCTGGGGATCACTGGGTTATTCTGTGGGTAGCCTGGGCCGGCAGGTGCCCAGCAGGCGCCCAGCAGGCAGCTGTGAACCTGTATCTGGCAGTGTCAGTTTTATGTGTAATTAATTAGAGTCACCCGAGCAGAATGTCTCTCTGTCTCTGTGTCTTTACCCATGTAATCATTTCAGCCAGCTGGTCACAGAGTGCCCCGTTTGTCGGGTCAGAGTGCCGGAGCGTTAGAGGAAGGGAACTTCTCCTTTTGTGTTTGTTTGACCTGGAGAGAACGCCCCCTTTTATGGAAGATGGCGGTGTCAGTGTACAGTGTCACCATGCCCCGTCAGTGATAGTGTAACCGAGTGGGGGGGCAGGCCTGGTGGGGTCCCCTCTTCCTGTAGCCCCAGGCTCCGATGGCTGGTTTCTGGTTGGACGGCAGAAACCCTGTCGCCTACAGCTCCATGGAGTGTCAGGTTGGGAGGCTTGGTTGTCGCCCAGGGGACCCCACACAGGGATGGCCGCATCATCCCATTTCTGGGTCATGTTTTCAGCCCCTTTGCCTCCCGGCGGGGCTCAAGTAAATTAAATAATCGTCACCAGCCTCCCACTTAATTACCGTGGTTGCCCGCCCCTTCTCCCTGCGTGCGTGGAGGGAGTCTGCTGGGGCACTTGGCGGCCCCATGGCCCCGGAGCCGGGATTTCTGAGGTCTGGTGCGTTCCCGAGACTTCCCTTCCGCGCCCCAGGCTGGAAGGCGTCCCGGGGCCCAGCCCACAGCAGCGCCGGGGACGCACACGACTGGCACCGGCTGATGAGGCTCTGGTTTCTTCTTTCCTTCCCTCCCCTCTAGAGTATAAGAAGAAGTACGGAGAGGAACACGGCTCCTGCCAGGCCGGGATCGCGGGCTTCTTCACCGAGGTGGGTGTCGGCCGCTCGCTTGCTGGAGTTCGCTTCCTGGCTGACTGTGGTCTCGGGAGCTTCTTGAGATGGTCTCCTTCTGGCGCCCCCAGTCACGTCCAGGAAGCCCGCTGAACCTGGGGGGGGCACCTGCCACCAGAGGGCACTGGGGGAGGGTGGGCGGGCTCATCTGGAGGCCACGCCTGTTGGGGCAGTGTCTCTAAGGAGACCCGTGGAAGGGACTGACTCAAGGGGTTGCTCAGTCACGTTTGTGTCTCGTTGGTGGTGAGGAGGGTGTAGGAGGCGTTACCGCCCATCACTCCTGTCTCCGAGGTGGAGAGATCTTAGGGTTTTCTACATGACTCAGCCAGCTCCTCGCCCAAATCCCGAAGGACCATAGACTTGGACCGTGATCTTTGGCTGATGGCACATCTTTTGGGACTGTTCTTAAGTGATTCTTACCTACTTTGAGTTTACCCTTCACATCAGCTCCTCATTTCTCAAGCATCATTTTGATCATGTGCCGTGTGCAAAGTTCCGTACCAGGTCCTGGAAGCGGCCCAGTCATCCATGCGGTCGCTCGGGCCCAAACACCAGAGTACTTTTAATTTAGAATTCATCTGCAGTCCTATTATTTTAACCTCCAAAGCATATCCCAAATGTGACAGTTTTTATTCCCCACCACCATCACCTTCTGGAAAAGCCATGCTCATCACCTGGAGATGCTTTTTTTTTTTTTTTGTAGTAAAATATACATAACATGAAATTGGCCATTTTTTAAAAGTTTATTTTGAGAGAGAGCGTGATTGGGAGGAGGGGCAGAGAGAGAGGGGAGAGAGAATCCCAAGCAGGCTCTGTGATGTCAGTGCAGAGCCTGATGCTGGGCTCAGTCCCACTAACTGAACTGTGAAATCATGACCTTGGCGGAAATCAGGAGTCAATGTTGAGCTGATTGAGCCCCCCAGGCACCCTTCCTTTGACCGTAATGACATAAACAACCCAGTGGCATTTACTACATTCACAGTGCTGTGTGGCCACGGCCTCTCTGGCTTGAGAACATTTCCATCACCTCGGTCTGCATCTGTTCTCAGCCCCCACCCTGTGTTTTCTGCACACCAGCCTGAGGAGTCTTTCAAAGTCAAACCCTGTCAGGGGCGCCTGGGGGGCTCAGTTGGTGAGCATCTGACTTCGGCTCAGGTCATGATCTCACGGTTCGTGGGTTCGAGCCCCGCGTCGGGCTCCGTGCTGTCAGCTCAGAGCCTGGAGCTGCTTCGGATTCTGTGTCTCCCTCTCAATCTGCACCTCCCCCACTCACCGTCTGTCTCTCTCTCAAAAATAAAGAAACCTAAAACAAACAAACAAGCCCTGTCATCCTGACTCTGTGGCGTCCCATCACATGGTGGATTAAATCCAAACTCTGGCCCATGAGCCCAGTTCTCTGACTTCTGCTCTCCTCTCGCTCCAGAACCAGAGAGCCATAGGCAGGGGCACCCGCCAGTGTCCAGAGCTTTCTGGTCAGGAGCAAGGCTGCCCACCCTAGTTTCTGCAGCTGCTGTCTGCCTGCCTGTCTATCTATCTCAATGTTTATTTTATTTATTTTGAGAGAGAGAGAATGCGCACATGTGCGCATGAGTGGGGGAGGGGCAGAGATAGAGGGAGAAGGAGAATTCCACGCAGGCTCCGCACTGTTTGTGCAGAGCCTGATGCAGGGCTCGATCTCATGAACTGCAAGATCATAACCTGAGCTGAAATCAAGAGTCAGACGCTCAACTGACTGAGCCACCCAGGAGCCCCTGCAACTGCCATTTCAGCAATGTAGCATTTAATTCAGAAAGCAAAATAGAAAGGTAAGAAAGAGATGTTACTACCTTTCACCCTCAGACCAATAAACCTGCGATGCTTCCCTCCCGACCCGCAGCCCTCACCCTCTGATTCCTACTACATCCCCTCGCCGTCACTTTTAGGGGATCCTTAGGGCCGTCTACACAGAGTTCCACCGATGGTCCTTGCTGCTCGGGCCAAAGTGAGAAAATCCCCTCTTAGTTCCCATCCTACACCCAAGCCACGCGGGAGGCCCGCTTCCTGTGCTCGCGGAACCCGTCCAGGGGCCTCCCGTTCCCGCTGCCTCCGCTGCCGCCCCGCAGACGAGCGCACCGTAGTCTTGTCCCCGGCCCGCCACGGGACCCCCTGGCTTCCCTCGCCCTCCCGCCTCACGGCAACCGCTCCCCCTCAGCAGCCTCAACCGCCTCCTAGAAATGAGACAAAGAATGAGGTGCTCCTTTGCTCAGAACCTTCTGGTGTATTCCCAGTGCCCTTGCAGTAAAGTCCAGACTCCACACGGTTGCTGAGGCTTCCTGAGTTTCCAGCCTCACCTGTTAGGCGGCCTCCCGGCCTCCCCGGAGACCCGAGATGGCTGCTGGGGGTACGGGCCTCACCGGCAGCGTTGGGCCAGAGGCCCCCACACGTGGCACTATTGTGCACGAGGGCACGGTTCCCAGAGGAGTCTCTGGGGCCGAAGCTGTCCAGAATTTGAATCTGGGTTCATTCTGGCACATGGTGCTTCGAAGTGTTTGCCATCTGACCACCCCCAGCGCGTGTCACTGCCCCTCCAGCCTCTCACCAGCAGGCTTGGGTTTTGTCATGAAAAAAGACACCTCATTTTGTTTTCATGTCCCTTTACCTGATTATTAGTGCAGTGTAGTGTTCTTCAAACATTGGCCATTTGTGTTTTTCCAGAAATTGCCTGTTTATGTTCTTGACCCATTGTTCTGGTTTTTCTCATTTTTAACAGATTTTTAGGCTCATATAAAATGGTTTCAACACTAAGTTCTTATCTCTTACTTATATGTATTGTATTTTTTTTTTATCAGTCTGAATTTGCTTATGGTATCTTTAATGTACTGCCATCAAACATTCGTATTTGTTGGGGCCCCTGAGTGGCTTGGTTGGTTGAACGTCCAACTCTTGATTTTAGCTCAGGTCATGATCTCGCAGTTCATGGGGTCGAGCCCCCTGTCAGGCTCTGCAGGGACAGCATGGAGCCTGTTTGGCTCCATGCTGTTTGGTTCTCTCTCTCTCTTTCTTTCTCTCTACCCCAACCCCACTCGTGCGCATGTGTGCTCACTCTCTCTCAAAATAAATAAACTTTAAAAAATAACGTTGGTAATTCTCTTTTTAATTTTTTGAGGCACCTCCACACTCTTCCAGAGTGATTGCACCAGTTTGCACCCACATTGTTGCAAGTGGCAGGATTTCATGCTTTCTCGTTGCCTAGCAGTATTCCGTTGTATATACATACACATCTTCTTTATCCATTCATCAGTTGAAGGACATTTGGGCTCTTTCCATAAATTGGCTTTTGCTGATAGCACTGCTATAGGAAGCACTGGGGTGCGTGTGCCCCTTTAAATCAGCACTCCTGTATCCTTTGGATAAATTCCTAGTCGTGCAGTTGCCGCGACTAGAGAGTATTATACTAAGCGAAGCAAGTCAGTCAGAGAAGGACGTATCATATATGATTTCACTCGTGAGGAATCTGAGAAGCTTAACAGGTGACCATAGGGGAAGGGAAGGAAAAATAAGATAAAAACAGAGAAGGAGGCAAACCATAAGCGACTGTGAAATACAGAGAACAAATGGAGGGCTGATGGCAGTGAGGGCTCTGTGGGGAGGGGAAGATGGGGGATGGGCACGGAGGAGGGCACTTGCTGGGTTGAGCCGCTCGCTCGCCGGGTGTTGTATGCAAGCGATGAGTCACTGGAATGTACTCCTGGGACTACACTGTGTGTTGGCTAACTGGAGAATAAATAAATTCAAAAAGAAAAGAGAGAGAGATTGAATGAATAAATAAACAAGTAAATAATGTTGGGGGGGAAAAGTTTTGTCAAATCTGTCAATCATTTTCTCTCTGGATTCTAGACTTCTCAGAAAGGTCATCCCTCTCCTAAAAATATAAAATACCCACCTACATTTTCTTCCAGTACTTTTACAGGTTTTTCTTTTTTAAGATGTTATCTCTTTAATACATCTTGGATTTGTTTTTGCAAACATTATATGCTAGAAACAAACTCCACTGTCTTCCTAACTGTGTAGCTGCTTTTCCCCGTGTGGGTCTGCTAGCCAAGTTTTGTCGCCCCACTGATGTGAGCCACCATCCTGCCACATGCAGGCTCACACTCTTCTTCCATCGCTGTCGCACGTGTAGATAGTCTGTGGCTGCCGCTCCTCCAGCAAGGTCTCGCCGAGTCTCACCCCGCTCTGTAGGCGACGGGGAGCCACTGTGAGTCCACAGCAGGTGGCAGGCACCACGGACAGGAGTGCTGAGAGAGAAAGCCGGGGGCGGGGTGTGTGGCCAGGACTTTAAAAGTGGGAGGGCCTGGGGGGAAGCCAGGGGGTCTGCGATGTGGCCCAGACACAAAACAACAGAGCAGGGATAAAACGTGATGAGAGGGATTGGAGAATATACGGCGGCGTCAGTGGGCTGGGTGGCCAGGGGCTGCGGGCTAGAGGAAGAAGGTTCTGAGCCGGGCGCTGGGTAACAGTGGTGCCCGGCGGGAAGACGGCTGGCTAGAGAGCCGTCGGAGGAGGTAAACCGACGGGTGTGAGGTGGTGGAGGGGACACTCACGGTGTTTTTAGCAGAGAGCTGGGTCCGGGCCCCACAGCATTGCTAGTCCATCTCCGGGGTGCTGGGGGTGCTGGGGGTGCTCAGATGGAGCCGGGGGTGGGCTGCGGGGAGGGCGCCTCCTTTAACGGCGGGAGGAGGAGGAAGAGTAGACTCATCGCAGAAATGAGGACTCAGGGAGAGAAGGAGCTCCGGGGGGTGGGGGGGGGTCATTACGGGCTCACCAGCCGGAAGGGCGGGGGAGACGGGGCACAGGGGCTGGGGGAAGGGCAGGGCTGGACGGGGGGCCGGGGCGCCGGGCAAGCCGCAGGCGGCCACTGAAAGCCCAGGCTCTGGGAGCCCCGGGGAGGGCCGGGCCAGCAGCAGCGGGTGTGGGGCCCGCGAGCGGGGGGCGCGGCCGTCTGGCCCGGGCTCTTCTCCTGGCTGCCCTGGGCTGCGGCCCCCGTAAACAGGAGGTCTTTGAACTCACGGCCTCTCTTGTTTCTGGAACCCCAGCTGTTGGAGGCCGCGCAGGAAGTGTGGTCGAAGGGGTCGGGCCGCACTCTCCCCTCCCCTGCCCTCCCGCTGACCTCGTCCCCTGGGCTTGCTCTTGCTCTGGGCTCGGCTGTCCCCGCGCAGGGCAGGCAGCTGCTTCTGTGGCCTTCCGGGTATGGCCACGTTGCCCCCAAGGACGCCGGCCCAAAGTGCCCGCCTGACCTGAAGGTCTGTGACCCAGGGGTTACCAAAGCAGTTTGAGTTATGGGCACCACGTGGGTTTTAGCCGGTCACTGAGGATAAGGGAGAGCTTCCTGAGATCTTTATTTTTGTAGCTCAGGATGACAGGGACAGATCCTTGTGAGTAGCCAGAGGGGACGCGGCCAGCGCAGGAGCAGTGCGGGGGAGCCTGGGGACCCGCGGGTGAGGCCCGGGACACAGACCTCTGTGGTGGAGCCTCAGTGCCCAGCTGCCCCGCCCCCACCTCCGCTCGCTGCGCCCTCGGCCTCTCAGGCACGCCCACGCCCTGGGCTTCTGGAGGCTTCTGCTAACTCGTGTACCTGGGGAGGAGGCCACACTGTTGACGGGAGAGACGCTACCGTGAGTTGCGGTGTGGCCTGTGCCTTGAGGGAAGCTTGCGTTTCTGTGTGCCATCGGCATTGGCTGCCTCTGGGTGGCGGGGAGCTAAGCATTGATGCCGTTTTCCTGGCGCTTGTGAAGATGGGTGCAGGCATCACCCCTAGTGAGCGGGAAACCAAGCACAGGAGTTGAGGAAGACCCGCCTCCCTGCGCCTCCCTGGGGGCCTCCGGCTCAGCTTCAGGTTCTCTAGTTTGCACCAAGGGCAGGGGCGCATGAGCACTAGGAGGACAGACACCTGGGGTTTTGAAGGGTTTTGAGGAGACGGGCGCCCGGAGGCTCAGTCAGGTGGGCGCCACTGCGGCTCAGGTCACGATCTCATGGTTCGTGGGTTCAAGCCCCGCGTTGGGCTCTGTGCTGACAGCTCAGAGCCTGGAGCTGCTTCAGATTCTGTGTCTCCCCCTCTCTCTGACCCTCCCCTGCTCACACTGTCTCTCTCTCTCTCAGAAATAAATAAAACATTAAAAAGAATTTTAAAAAAATAAAGGTTTTTGAGGAGAGGGGTTGCCTTGTCATAGACTCTTTGTAATGTTCTGGGGGGGGCGGTACAGGGATACATTACACATACAGCTCTCAGGCTCTACGCTGGATTTATTTTATTTTTTAAATATATATTTTTTGAATATTTTACTTAAGTATCTGAGAGACAGAGGGGAAGACGGACTCCCAAGCAGGCTCTGTGCTGTCAGTGCACAGGAGCTCAGTCCTACAAACTGAGATCATGACCTGAGGCCCTGGTTTCGAAATCAAGAGTCGGATGTTTAGCTGACTGAGCCACTCAGGTGCCCCGATGCTGGATTGATTCTAAGTCATCAGAAAGCGACGTGCCTACCGCCTGGTGTCCCAGGGAGCCTCGCGGGGGTCTCTGGAATTGCTCGAGGCGTTGGCTTCTGAGGGGCTGTGGGTGGTTCAGCTCTGTGTGCGGTCTGCTCCGCGGGTATCCGGGATGGCGGTCTTTTTGTTCCTCCGTGCCCTGCGTGTTTGGACACCGATTCCAAATTCCTTTCTGAGCTCAAGCCCAAGGAAAAAGTCTCTCTCCTCTGATGAACTGATCATTTGTCTAACATTCCTTCTAGAACTAGCACGGTCCCTGCACAGAACAGATGGTCACGGGGGGCGGGACTTGATAAATTCACCCACACCTGTGTGTTTTCAGTGATGAGCTCTGAGTGTGGAAAGTGATATGCTCTTTGTCTTTTTAATTTTTTTAAATTTATTTTTGAGACAGAGACAGAGCATGAGCAGGGGAGAGTCAGAGAGAGAGGGAGACACAGAATCTGAAACAGGCTCCAGGCTCTGAGCTGTCAGCACGGAGCCCGACATGGGGCTCGAACCCTCAAACTGAGGGATCGTGAGCTGAGCTGAAGTCAGCCGTTCAGCCAGCGGAGCCCCCCAGGGCCCGGAAAGGGATATGCTTTTACCAAACACTGAGCCACCTCGGAGGGTCCAGCTTAGCGCAGTAGCTGAGAATGCAGTCTCGCTCCCGCCGTCCACCGTCTGAATCACCAGAAACAAGCCTTTCGGGCAGGATCTGGTGGCTTCCCTTCCACCTGTGCTCGCACAGGAGGGTCCTTCCGAGAGGGCCCCAGCACGTGTGTTGTTCAGAGCACGGCCTGGTGCCGCCGCGGCCCCACGCCTGCTCTCCTGCCCACGCGCCCTTCTTCTTTTCTTGCTCTTTAGATGGTGCGGGTCTTTTCAGACATTTGCGCTCTGGGAATTCAGCAGGAATTTACGAATTGTCAGCAGACAGAGGCCTTGAAGCGAGATCTAACCTCAGGGACCTGATGGAAAGCTGCAACTCCTGACGGCGTTGAGGCCAGCTGTGCAGGGAGGGTCACCCTGAAGGACGTTTCTGAGATAGAGCCGCGTGTGGGGCCCCAAGGGCCCAGGGCGGGTGGAGGCAGGAGTGCGTGGCCTGCTCCTTGGGCGTTTTTGGACAGCCGAACGGTTTCCATTAAAGTCGTCTCGGTTTGAACCCTTTTGGATAGAATTTTTTGTCTAAAATATTTTGTATGTTTCCGGATCGCCTTCCCGTGGAAATGCCAGACAAAGGGACTTCATTGGTCTGTGTATCTAGTATAAGCTTCCATACGTAATAGTTGGTGCTTTGTATTATTGAAGGAAAAATTCATGACTGTGTTAGGAAAATAAGTTTTATTGATTCTCAGTGCAGTGTAGACACTTTGGAAAATATGGGTAATCGAGGGACGCCATTGCCCGCTGGGGAAGGAAGGAAGGGGAGCCTCCGCGGGGTGGTGCAGTGGACCCGAGGATGCAGTGGGCGCTGCCCTCCGTACGGCCTCCATTTGGAGCAGTGTGCGTTTTCGGAGGGGACTTCCTTGTCAGTGTCCAGTCATTGTTCTGGAACTTTGAAAAACACACAAAGAATTTTAGGGATGAGAGACAGAGAGATGGGGCGCCTGGGTGGTTCGCTTGGTTAAAGCTTCAGCTCGCGTCAGGATCTCACAGTCCGTGGAGTTTAAGCCCCACGTGGTGCTCTGCACTGGCAGTGAGGAGCCTTCTCCGTCTCTCCCTCTGCCCTTCCCCACTTGCACTCTCTCTCTCTCAAAATAAATAAATAAACTTAAAAAGGAGAGAGGATGACAGAAGAAGGGAGGGATTCCTGTAACCCTTATCACCCCGTGGAAAAAACCATAAACGTTTGGGGCTTACCCTTCTGGTCTTCGTCTTGTCTGGCTGTGTGCTCATGTTTTCCTTTCGTAAAACACGACCATAGCTTATATCCTGTTTGGCTTGTTCCTATTAACCTAGCGCTTTGTGACTCTGTCTCGGTGCTGTTAGATCTCCAGTATTTTCATCACTGCAGGATTCTGTGCAATTGGATGTACCATGATTTAGAATTCCAGCTGTTAGACATTTCGGTCATTTCCACTTCCTTTACCACAGTGATGATGCCTCTTCTTGTGGGTGAAACCATGCTGTTGTCCACACTGGCTCCCTCCGATAGGTACATCATTTGGGAGCCCTTGGACCTCTCATCAGTACGGCTCATTAGATGGTTTTGTAGCACAGACCTGCTCTCGGCCCCGTTGAAGGTGCAGAGCCACTTGCCCCCACCCCGAATGCTGGAGACCACTGTGTCTTTGTGTTTCTAAGTCTGCTTTTTTTTTTTAAGTTATTTATCTATTTTGAGAGAGAATGAGAAAGAGTACAAATAGGGGAGAGAGAGAGAGAGAGAGAGAGGGAGGGAGGGAGAGAGAGAAAGAAAGAGAGAATCCCAAGCAGGCCCCTTAGTGTCAGCACAGAGCCCAGTGTAGGGCTTGAACTCACAAACCATGAGATCACGACCTGAGCTGAATCTAAGAGACGCTTCACTACCCAGACCCCCACCCCCACTCCCCGCCCTGGGTGTCTCTTGACCGGAGGCTCTGTCCTTCCCTTAGCCTCTTTGCCCTCATAATTTTTTAAAAATATTTTTATTTATTTCTAGGAGAGAGAGAGAGAGAGCGTGAGCAGGGGAGGGTCAGAGAGAGAGGGAGTCACAGACTCCGAAACAGGCTCCAGGCTCTGAGCTGGCAGTCAGCACAGAGCCCGACGCGGGGCTCGAACCCATGAACCGCGAGATCATGACCTGAGCGAAAGTCGGATGCTTAACTGACTAAGCCACCCAGGCGCCCCTCTGCCCTCATAATTTTGCCATGAGTTTACAACGGGGCCACAAATGCCAGCTTTAGTGCCATTCCTGAGAAGAGCGTCCCAAGCGAGGACCTAGGGACTCCCCCGGAGCGGTAGTGCACAGTGTTTGCGGAGATGCTTCTGGTCAGTTGTTTTCTCCTTGCCCTGCATGGGCAGGTGGGGTCGGAGGCCAAGATGGGTGAGGGGGTGGGGTCTGTTCATGAGCACTGTTTCCTGCGAGTCTGTGGTTTAAGAGGATGTGCAGTGATGCCATTTCCTCGTTTGATGCAGGTGCAAAGGTGAGGGCTGGGGCGGGGACCTGGTATGGCAGTCATTCTGTCACCTTGCTCCATTCTCCCCACCCTGTCCCTGCTGACCCCATGTGTGTGACGGGTTCCGTCACTCGGGGGGACCTGCTGACGGAACTTTTGACGTGCTCTCACCTGCACCCTGTTCAGCTCCCTTCCCCGTTTACCTTTGGGTTCTCTTCCGTAGGAGCTGGTGGTGATGGGTGCCCCGGGGTCATTTTATTGGGCCGGGACGGTCAAAGTGCTGAACCTTACGGACAACACCTATTTCAAGCTGAACGACGAGGGGATCATGAACAGACGGTACACTTACCTGGGTGAGTAGCTCGGGGACGAGGATGGGCACAAAGGGGAAACGGGCTGAGTCTCCCCAAGCTCACACACGATGCTTTGCGGGTAGAAAGAAGAGTTTGGTGGCTTTTATGGGTGTTGTTCTAATTAGGTCCACTTTCCTCCGGGCACCTTACATCAAGTCTCACACCCTGCAGGGGAGGGCTCTGGATGCAAACTGGCGATTTAATTGTACAGCTGGAAGCAGACATTTTATGTCCTACCTGAGCTGCTCCTCACGTTGAGACACCAATGAGTGCAACAGAAGCCTGGTTCCCCACGGCGCTGCTTTGTGTGCTGCCCTGTTCCCCCGTCTCGACACCATTCACAAGTAGAAATAATAAGAACCAATAATTAGCACGACGGATGGCAGGGTAATGCTGAAGGTGGACCTCAGACTCAGAAAATTTCTCTTACATTCGCAACTCTTTTAACCTTTGAGAAAAGATAGATACAATCGAATAGCTGTCAGGCAAGCGTGACTCTGCACCCTCTCGGGGCAAAGATAGGCTGACCTTGTTTGTGGGCAAGAAGACTTTGTGTGGCTCTTTTCCTTAGTTCGTGTCCTTGGTGCTATCACTCTGGACATATATAAATATTTTAAATGTTTATTTATTTAGAGAGCGTGCAAGCAGGGGAGGGGCAGAGAGACAGGGAATCCCAAGCGGGCTCTACGCTGTCAGCACAGAGCCCAATGTGGGTTTCAATCTCATGAACTGGGAGATCATGACCTGAGATGAAATCAAGAGTTGGACGCTTCACTGACTGGGCCACCTAGGTGCCCCTGGATACCATTTCTTTAATTCCTGAGACAACCTTTTGAGGCAACTATTATTACCCACATTTCATAGGCAAAGAAACTGAGTTACAGAAAAGTACATAACTTGCCAAGATCACATGGCTTGTGAAGAACAGAGTGGGGGGCTTAAACCTGTGGCTTCACAGCCCAGAGTCCCAACGCAGAGATGCCTCCTGTGTATGGGCCTTGGAGACAGCACTGACCCCTGGTCTGGGCCCCTCACTCAGCTCGGAGGTGGGGAGTTGGTCTGACATTTCCAGGACTTGATAGAGTGCTTGGTACACAGCAGGGAGCCCCGACACGTGTTCGGTAGATTGGACAGTGGAGAGAAGGCAGCGGAGGGCCTGGTTTGGGTTTGGCTTTAGGGTCTGGGCTAGGTCCTTTGGACCTGAGGGGCCCCTGGCTCCTCCCTGTGTGCCAGAGGCCATTGTTGCTGCGTGGCTTTCAAGGGTCACTTGAGGCTTTGCGGTCACACGTGATGCTTGTGGGTCATGCAGTCAGACCGCATGCACAACAAGAATTGATCACTGTGCAGTGTCCCCACAAAATCCAAAAAGCTTGTGATCACAGCATGAGGGTGTGCAGGCAAGGACAGGTTTGGGAATATGTGCTGGCTAAAGGAGGCTCTCCAGCCTGCCTGCGAGGCTCTCAGGAAGCAGGAGATGCTTCGGTGAAGCTCAGACAGCATTTTACCTTTGTCTCTAGGTTTCTTTTGCATCCAGATTCTTTCTTCGTCCACCCACCCACCCACTGTCTGCTTCTTTCTGCCTTAGGAGGGAAGGTTAGCAGCAAGGGCTGGTTAACAGTGGTTAGTGGTTAACAGCGTGGTGGTTAGTGGTTGACAGCAGGGCTTGGGAGACACACAGAGTGGATATGAATCTTGCCATGTTATCTTGGGCAAGTGAGTGAACCATATTTCGTCTCAGTTCCTACCTCAGTAAAAGGGGAGAAGTAGCCATACCTTCCTCAGAACTGTGTCATTAAAAGGTGCTGGCGTCCAGAGGCTTCCATGGGGGTGTCCACAGCGGCTTTATTCACAGTGAAGCAGGACAACTGGACACATCCCAGATGCCCAGCAGCGGGAGAATAAACGTGCTGTGATCTATTCATACAGTGGACCGTTGCTCGACAATTAAAAGAAACGACTTATACTCAGTATGGATGAATGTCACAAGTGTTATGTTAAGTGAACTTCTAGAACACATAAACCTAATATATAGTAAAAGAAATCTAAATGGTGTCTGCCTGAGTGAGGGCATTGACTCGAGAGGGTAGGAGGGAACCTTCTAGGTAGGGTTCTATCTAGGCTTCTGTTCACTCTGAGTGGTGATCCCATGGCGTGTTGCAATGAGTTTTCTACTTTGAGTGTATGCACTTCACTGTATGACACTTCTGTCTCAAAAAGAAAGAAAACCAGGGCTGTCTGAGTGGCTCAGTCTGTTAAGCGTCCAACTCTTGGTTTTGGCTAAGATCATGATCTCCCAGTTCATGAGTTCAAGCCCCATGTCAGGCTGTGCACTGACAGTTCAGAGCCTACTTGGGATTTTTTTCTCTCTCTCTGCCCCTTCCTGGGTTGTGTGCTCTCGTTTGCTCTCACTCGCTCACTCTCTCTCGCTCTCTCTATCTCTCTCTCTCTCACAGACACAGACACACACACACACACACACACACACACACACTCTCTCTCTCTCTCTATATATATATATACATATAAACTTTAAAAAAGAGAGAAAAACAGATATAAGGTATTTGACACAGTACCTGTTTTAAAGAGGACCCTCAAAAACACTCTTTCCTGCCCCAGTGTCTTGGTGAACATGACTTTTTGTGACATGAGCCGTTTTGGCACGAGAAGACTGACAGCGGCTGTTTGGTCCCTGGGAGGCTATGTTACAAATAGAGCTGGGCTGCACCTGTCCACACAAGGGGCCCTTTTCCCTCTGGTGGGTCTTTTTCTCCCCTGCCCTTCCTCACCCTCCCCTTGGTCATGTCCATCCTTTGCAGGCTACGCAGTGACTGCTGGCTCCTTCTCTCGCCCGTCCACCACCGACGTGGTGGGAGGTGCCCCCCAGGACGACGGCATTGGGAAGGTGAGGAGACAAGTTGGTGGGATAGCACGGGGCCAGCCGGGGGGTGGGGGAGCTGCGCCTGTTGTAGAGGTCTGTCACTCACTCCACCTGAATGCTCTGCTGGGTGCCTGCAGGGAAGTGGTGACATCATGAGTCTCCTGTCGGCCTCCTTCCAGCTGCTTTTGAGAGCGTGCCTTGAAAGCTTAACCAGAGAGTGACTGCTGCTCCCAGGCCTCGCCCTCCCTGCACCTTCTCCTCTCGGCTGCATTGTGCAGCTGACCGTGCATGTGTGAGACCATTAACACCGACCCCGGGCATCATGGCCTCCTCCAAATGAATGGTGTCTGGCTCTCTGCAGCTTCAGATTCTCCGTTCTGCCAAGCTCTTCCCAATTTTGAATTTGACTTAATAGAGCCAAGTCTGGTCCTGGGTATCTTTGGGACTTTATTTACTTATCTTGGGGCCTAGGGTCGCATATTTATTTCGCCAGTGTTTTTTTTTTTTTTAATGTTTATTTTTGAGAGGGAGAGAGAGAGTGAGTGCAAGAGAGCGGGGTAAGGGCAGAGAGAGAGAGAGGGAGACACAGAATTCAAAGTAGGATGCAGGCTCTGAGCTGTCAGCACAGAGCCCGACGCGGGACTCAAACCCATGAACCATGAGATCATGACCTGAACTGGAGTCAACATTTAAACGACTGAGTCCCCCAGGTGGCCTGTTTCCCCAGTGTTTTAGAGGCAAGACTGGTTCGGCCCAAAGGCTGGACCGGGAATGTGTCCGTCACTTTTCCTAAAGGATTTGCCCAAAGTACAGGAAAGACGGCCTGGATTTAGGGCTGCCTGAGTGAGTCCCTGTGGGAATCACGGCCCCAGTGGGGCTGAGAGGCTGAAGAACAGGCTTGCCGATTCTTTAGCTCCAGGGCGTGGGAAATCTAGATTGCGTAGGTCTGCATGAGTCCAGAACCTGCATTTTTAACACACTACATAGGTTCTCTGATAGAAAAGTCTGAGCAAAGGAATGATCTTTGGCGCTGAGCCCATGGGGTGGACCTAAGATAGAACCTGGCCATATCTCCGGGGGCTGAGAAGTCGGCTCCGGATTCTAGAGAGGCCCAGATGGCCCCAAACCACTGTTAATTGGAGCCTTGAGCCAGCATGTCCGTCTGGTCAGCTGACAGGGCTTAACTGATGCAGGAGGGTCGTTTCCTGGATACCCCTGGGCAGGAGTTGGGAGCCTCAGCTGTCCTTTCTGGAAGTGTCCCTCCCTCCCCACTAACACTGATGCGAGGGAGAAAGGATCTTTGAAAAGGAAACCAGATAAGATGTCAGGGCACTGAGCAGGGGAGACGTGCAAGAAGGAAGCCAATCCTTTCAGATCGCATGATTCTTCTATGTGGTAGAGTGAAGAAGCACCGTGAGCTGTCCCCACGCTGCTGATGTCTTTCGGTAAAGACACTGCATGCATGTGCCTGGGCCTCTTTGTGATGCTGCTAAAAATGCTTACCTCCCGGTTCACAGCCATGTGATGCCTCAATGCTTCCTTTTCTCACCAATTACAAGGACTTTTATCCAATTGCATTGTTTTCCTTTCAGGCTTGTGATAGCCTTAAGATAGCCGAGTCTTGGGATGAGAACAGTATTTATAACTGAGAGAGCCAGACAGAGAGAGTCTTGTATTCTGTCAACAAGAAAGAACCTGAAATGCTTCTTTCAGTCGGGCCCTGTGAGAGGAGCTGGGGAAATTGGGCGTAGCTGATGAAGTTGCTCACTGCCGCATTCCCAGGGACACTAGCACAGCCGTCCGGCCTGCAGGATTCTGGTGGTTAATCATTTCTGGTGCCAAGGGCTCAAACACGTTCTCGCTAAGGCAGTGGCTCCTTACCCCACCGGAGGGTCCCCGACGCTCCTTCTCATGGGACATTGTTCTGTAAGATGCAACTGGAGAAGGAGCTTCCATAGCCCCATCATTTGGAAAGTTCCACATCAGTGATCCTCTTTGTGGTAGAGACGCACGGTGTTAGTGTGCACACGGAAGGCTCTGAGTCCTGCAGTAGAGGAATTGCTTTCATGTTTAAGTCCTATTAACCCAGGTAGGTCTCGTGGCTCTAATGTTCTGTGGAATCACTTTGTCTACAGTGCTCTCTTCCATCCCTCTGTCTTTCATTGGTGTCCCTGCGACCGCTCTAGCTCACAGGAAGGAAAGAAATATTTCAAGGAAGAAAATTACTTTATCCCAGAGTTGAACTGTTGGCTGGTAATTTGCAAGGTCCTTGGGACTTACTGTGCATGGCTTCCGTAAATGACGTGGTCCAGGAGCAGAGGACGTGAATTCTGCCCGGGGCCGCAGGATGCTCTTTTTGCAGAGCTGGTAACAAAGGCAAGGCCCACCGACTTCCTTCTCATCAGCCAGCTAAGCGCGTCCGCCTTGTGCCCGGCCGGCCTTCTAAGTAGGGCTCTCAGGAAGGTGCTGATAAGTATCTGTGGTCGTTTCTTCCATCTTAACCATTGTTCTTCTTTCATTCCCTAGGTTTATATTTTTAGAGCTGATCGAAGATCAGGCACCTTGACCAAGATTTTTCAGGCGTCAGGTAAAAAGGTGAGCTTCTTGGTACTAGCGTCGTGTTTTTGCTTGTGAGACGTCATCATGTGGAAATCAGTTCACTTTTTAGAAAAGTGGTGCAAAGGCCCCATCTGTACCCTGAATCTGGATGGCGGCCCCACATGCACTTGCCGTTAACCTTAGCGTCGCGTGTAACCTGCTGGTTGTGAATTCACACTTGTTGCAGGAGACAGGTAGCAAGGTGAGTTTGTACACGGCCACGTTACCTCACAGAGTTTTAAAAGGGTTTTCATGGTCCAGGTGGTCATCAGAATTACTGCTTGCTCTGTCTCTCCCTTGTCTGCCCCTCCGCCCCTTCACCCGCCTCTCTGTCCAACACACCCACGCTCCGCACCCAGCAAGAGCAGGCAACGTTGAGTACGGCAGCAAACCCACAGTAGCAGAGTGACAGGCACGTGGTCCTCATTATCGCCGTGTGGCTAGCCCAGGGCCACGCCCCTCATCCTGAGCCTCCCATCGCCATTACCACAAGGGCTGTTGTCACGCAAAGAAAAACCAAACAAAAGCCACGCAGCAGCTTTGAGAACCTGAAACAGAAGCGTGGGAAGGCCACCTTGGAGTCAGTCCTGGGCAAAAGGCTGTCTGCCTGAGTTGCTCTGTCCTGGTCTCAGCCCTGGGCCCCCTCCGCTTCCTGCATGCTTCCGCTACGCCCCGTGTGGTCTGCGATGAAGGCAGAGAGTCCTTTGGTCAACAAGCAGCACTTCTCATGGGCTTTCAGGCCTGCACGCCTTAGTGGGGCTCAGATCAGCAGGACTGTTGAGTGAGAGTGGCTGCTCTTGGGACACATATGTAGGCTCGGAGGCCAGGGGGTAATTTGGAGGCTCATCTTGGTTGAGGCCTGCGTGAGCTCTGGGAGCAAGCCCAGGACACCAGGGACTGGGGAGGGAGATGCTAGGAGATGGGAGAATGTGGAAGGTGGGGTTACCGACCACTGACCTAAGGAAAGGTGGGGGAATGGTTGTTTCCTCTGTGGGGGGCCGGGTGCCCCAGGCCAGTTCAGGCCCTCCTGTGGGTTAGACCTGCTCAGCACCAGCCTCGCACCATCCCACGCCGTTCCGGTGGGGAGTCTTCTTAGGTCCCCAAATCCCACTCACAAGTAGAAATTTTTTTCCAATTGTTTTTTTTTTTTTTTTTTTTAATTTTTGAGAGAGAGACAGAGAATCCAAAGCAGGCTCCGAGCTGACAGTAGAGAGCCTGATGCGGGGCTCAAACTCATGAGTGGCAAGATCATGACTTGAGCTGAGGCCAGACGCTTAACCTACTGAGCCACATACGTGCCCCTCCGCTTTTTTCAATTTTAACAACCTTAATTGTGTACTTAGTATAGAATCTTTTCAATAAAAATATGCATCGCTAAGTCAGTTTTGTGAAGTGCTCCCTGAGAACATTTCTGCACCCCCCTGGGAACTGTACCGGCCTGTGTTGTTTGAACGTTTCCCAAACCCCAAAGCATCAACGCTGGAAAAGGACTGTGAACAATTCTGCAAAAAAGGTTTTCCAAGCACCCTTTCAGTTAGGCAAGAAATAACTCTGTGCCATTTGTAACAGAGCCCCAGAGAGCAGGGGGGTATGATGCTCCTGGGCCTAACATCTTAGATCTTTCTTGAAAACAAGTGGTGAGCATGCCTAGCGTAGGAAGGCCAGACCCCTACCCTTCTCCTTCAAATCTACCTGGGCTTAAAAGCATAACATTAAAGGACTCCCCCCCTGCTTTGACTTTATTGAGATACATTTGATGTATGTCACATTGGGTGAGTTTAAGGTGTTCAACACCAGGTTTTGGTACATGCACTTACTGTGACATCACAGGGTGGCTAGTTAGCACATCCATCACTCCCCGTAACTGCTGTAAAGTGAGGTGTGGAGCTGCAACACATCTGTCACCCAGTTTTCAGGATCCACCTGTGCTTCTGCACCTGCTGTCTCTATCCCCTCTCCCCAGCCACCACCTGTGCCTGTGCCCAGGGCAGGCCCAGTTAATGCCCATCATCCTGGTGTAATTAGCAGCCTATAACTGTGCCCTTCTCTCTTTTTTTTTTTTATGTTTATTTAGTTTTGAGAGAGAGACAGCGCATGAGCAGGGGAGGGGCAGAGAGAGAGGGAGACACAGAATCTGAAACAGGCTCCAGGCTCTGAGCTGTCAGCACGGAGCCCGACGCGGGGCTCGAACCCACAGACTGCATGATTGTGACCTGAGCTGAAGTTGGTCGCTTAACTGACTGTGCCTCCCAGGCGTCCCCCCTCCTTCTCAAAAACCTCGCGGTGCAGACGACTACTTACATGGTCCCCCATCTGTGACTGGACGTGGTCAGGTTTGCGGCCACAGGTGTCAGAGTGGGCGGTGGGAGAGGTACACGTTTGCGAAGCCCCTTGGGCACACATCCCGAGGACTTCATGACGTGGGGTCCCAGGACAGACTGCTTTCAGGTCGGCCCGAATGTCCTTATGGCGCGCTGCGGCTCCCTGGGAGGGGGTGACGGGCTTCTGCTCCCTGGCCGCATCCCCTGTCGTCTTCGTTAGGGCTGCGCTTGCCCCCTTTCACCACTCTAGCCTTAGGGCCATCCCTTCCCCACCCCACCCACCCCCGCTTCTCTGGCTTCTACCTTGACCCCCACCATCTGCTTTCTGAGTTTGAAAAAGACCATGACTCTATAAGTCTTATTCTGCTTTTTGCCAGAACAAACTAGGAATTCTAGTCGAACTTCTCCATCACTTCAGAGGGAAAGGGCATGACCTCAGGCTTTCAGAGGATGTCTGTAGCTTTTTGTCCCGTGTCAGGAGTCACATGCGCATAGGGAGGCTTCTGACTCAGGCAGCCACTGGGCCACTTCTGCTTTCCTTCAGCCAGAGTGTGGCCAGGTAATCCCGTCTCCTGGCCTTATTGTCAGAAAAATCCAATACCCCCAAATTCTGGTTTTTATGGGTTGACACCCTTCATATAGTGCTCCTAAGAAATCACCAATAGTGCTCGATCCAGATGTTAATTTAGATGCAGGTCTCCACATTTCCAGACCACTGGGAGAGCTCTGATCCAGGCGCACCCACGCAGAGCATGCCACTGCCATGTCGGAGTTTCAGTGAGTTAACGAGGTTCCTGAAGTGTTCGTATATCAAAACTTAGATAGGAAACTTCACGTACAGGGATTTCTGATTGAACACGATGAAGATGTCAAGTTAAATAGCCCTTTGGAACGAGACAACTGCCAGCAGCTCTGGTCCTCGGTGCCTTCCTCGCTTGTTTGTTTGCTTGTTTTACTCAAGTCCAGATAGAGTGATTGGCAAAGCCACGGCGTTAGTGCTGGCCACTCGGCCTCGGCCTGACTCGGGCCTTCCCCACACCCTTCTCCTTGGGGAATGGCTGGTCGCAGGGTGGGGTGGGTTGAACACAAGTGGCCTTGGCATGTGACCGGGGAAGGGCTCCCGTCCCAGAGTTCGCTGCAGGAAGTAGACCGGAGTGTCCTCCACTGCTCTCACGCTCCCCGGGCAGCCGCCAGCAGACCCAGTGCTGAGACAAAATGCTCGTTCCCGTCCATAGCACTAGAGCCCTTTTATTTGAAGACATTTATTTTAAAAGAATGGCCTCCTCCCCCCGCACCCCCCAATCCAAAGGAGGTTGCAAACTGGCAGCCTTTGGAAAGGATGCAGCCTTTAAAATTCTTTGTTGGGCCCTCCCAGTATGTTTGCTTATTCTTTATCATGAACTAGTTGCCTGCATTCTAAAAGTAGGCACTTCAGATAAAGTTTTAGACTTTTGGCTTCTCCTGAAAACTGTGAAGGTCGGCCTCCTCGGCCGGGGTCAGCCTGCCTCCCAGCAGCAGGTGACTTCAGCTGGGCAGGAGTGGTCGTCACTGGTTCTAAGCCAGGTGTCCCTTGGCGGCTGCTTGCAGTGTTGCTTGGCTTTTCTCACACCTGTTACCACACCTGCCTGGGTCCCGCTGGCATTTGGGGTTGAGACCCTGATTTGCAGTAACAGGTATTGAATTTAGCTGTGATCCAAGAAGAGCCAGTGCAACCTGGCCGTGTTCCCTTGTGCAGTAAGTCGTCTTGCGAGTTGTACCTTTTCCTGCCACGGGGTCTCACGCCTTCCTGGCCGGCCGCGCGCTGGCCTGTTTTCCTGCTCGCCTTGTGTTATGAAATTCCACGTTCCCACTTGGTTGGCCTGTCAAACGTCTGTTATATGAGGCACTTTTGCTATGGCTGTAACTTGTTTTGCAACCTCAGCTTGCACTTTTAAAAACCATACCTTGTTCTCCCTGGATCCGTCCACTTGTTTGTCCCTTGGTCGGGCTCCCCGCGGCGGGAGTCCAGCATCGACGCCGGAGCCAGGCAAGTCAGGTTTCACTGCTTGCCCGGGGCCTCTGGCCTGTGGCGCAGTGTGGCCAGCGCAGCCTCTGAGGCGCTTGGGAACAGGTGTCCTTAAGCGGCGGGCAGAAGACAGCGAGGCCCCCTGTGTGGCGGCAGACACTGAACGCTCTGTGCGACTCAACTTGGTTGCAGATGGGCTCTTACTTCGGCTCCTCCTTGTGCGCAGTTGACCTGAACGCGGACGGCCTCTCCGACCTGCTGGTGGGGGCTCCCATGTTCTCTGAGATCAGGGACGAGGGGCAGGTCACCGTTTACATCAACAGAGGAAACGTGAGTACCGGGCTGGGTGCCGTGGGGATGGCCGTGGGAGGGGACATCTGTCCAGTGAGGAGTGACGGGCCCCCCACCGGGCTGTGCCCTGGGCCCCGTGACCCAGGGGAGGAGAAAAGACCTGCTTCCTACCTTGAGAGAGCTCAACGCTCCACTAATGGAAAGCTGTGCGCAGTGTTCTTACCGCAGATGTGCAGGGATTGAGGAAGATGGAAGGTCTGGTATCTGTTGTTTGATTTTTTTTTTTAACGTTTAGTTTGAGAGAGAGAGAGAGCACACACATTCAGGCTCACGAGCAGGGGAGGGGCGGAGGGAGGGAGGGAGAGTCCCAGGCAATCTCATAATCTCACTAACTGTGCGATCATGACTTGAGCTGAAATCCAGATTTGGGTGCTTAACCAACTGAGCCCCCCAGGCGCCCCTGTGTTTTGGTTTTGAGTGCTTACCACGTGCCTGAAACTGTTCATCCTCTTTTCTAGAAATGATTTCAGTGTAACGTACACATGGTATCAGGGTCCCCATTTTTCAGGTGGAACAACCGAGGCCCAGAGAGGTTAGGTAATCTGCCCCCATCACGCCACCTGGGCTGGGACTTGAACCTGGGCCAGCTGGCCCCCTGGGAGTGGGGCTTCCTGCCCAGAAGGATATAGACACGGGCCCAGGGGAGCACAGAGGCCTCCCGGAGGACTCAGCGGCAGGATCTTGAGGAAGGAGTAGCAGTTAGGCAGACAGGCGGGGGGGGCTGGGCAAGCGGGTTGAGGCGGGGGTGGCAGGACCCCTGGGTGCAGTGCTGGGGGTCGGGTGGCGGCCACCGCCGTGGCCCAGGCCTGTGGTCACTCTGTCCCTCCTTCTGCAGACACTAGAAAGGGATGTGAAGGTGTCAGAAAGATGCCTCTGCCCCTCTGCCACCGAGTGGAGGGCTGCGGGCCCGGGGTGGGGCAGGAGACCAGTGAGAAAGTGGAGTCTTCTGAGCGTCTGGAGTTAAGAATGTTCAAGAAGAGAGTGAAACACGTCATTTTGTTACTAGTAGCCTTTTAGCAAACGTGAGAAGATACATAGGAGGTAATGAGTGAAGAGCAGGATAAAAACTGTACAAACCCCCTTTGAAAACATACAGGGACATCTGGGGCCTCCTCGCTTAAGCGGCCGCTCTTGAGCTCGGCTCGGGTCACGACCTCACGGTTCGTAGCCTGGAGCCCCACACCGGGCTCTGTACTCCGTGCTGAGCCTGCTTGGGATCCTGTCTCCCTCTCTCTGCCCCTCCTCCACTTGTGCACATTCATGCTCTCTCAAAAAAAAATGTTAAAAATATACAAAGTACACAGAGGATGTTAATAACAGATCTTTCTAGGTGGTGGGGCTTGGGTTGATTTTTAGTGTTCATTTTATCCAAAGAGCAAGAAGGTCATACTAAAAAAAAAAAAAAGAAAAAAAAATCAGTAAAAACGTACTTCTGAGCCGTGACCACGATGCTGCTTATCCCGGTCGGATGACAACCCCGCTGGAGGGGCAGGTGGCGGGAGAGAGGGCAGCCATTGGAAGGCGAGCCAGGGAGCATTAGAGCCTTGGGCTTTCCTGGATGCTTGTAGACTCTTTGAGAACGTGAACTGAAAACCTGGGGACAAAGACACTTCCTGGCGCCTATTGCCATGAGGCTTGGCACCTCTGTCCCCATCGACATCCTAGGCCGGAGGGACAGGTGTGCACGGGGAGAAGTGAGGTGGTCGTGCCACAGGTGAGAACATCAGCCTTCACTGGCTGCCCAGCCACCGTGTCTGCGGGAGGAGGACCCGTCTGTGAAGGTACTGACTTGTCAGTGGCAAGGTGAGCAGCGTAATAGCTGGGGGACAGGGTGTCTGAGCGAGGACTCTCGGGGCAGGAGACCCCCAGACGCACTGCACCCTGCGTCCCCACCCCCAGCCAGTGTTGGCTAAATGCCGGGTGGTTACGCTAAGTACCAAGGTCCTCGTATGTCTGTTGAGCCTCACCCTGTTTGGTTAGTGATTACAAAGCAGTTCAGAGGAGTGGAAAAAATGATGCCTTTGGAGTCAGAGGGACCTGCCCCTTGGTTTTTCGACCTACTAGCCTGGGCCACGTGGAAGAAGAGCTTAAAACTGGTGGCTGGGTTTCCTCAGCTGTGAAGTGGGGAGAGTCAGAAGGTGCAATGTGAAGCCGGGACACCCCTGGGCTGGCTTGGGGGTGCACGGTGGGTCCAGGGGACCTCGACACTGGGGGCGGGTTTCAAAGTTCTTACGCCTCCAGAGATCAGACTGCATTTTAATACTGTGATACTGACGCGCTTCTGTCACCACCACCCGCCGTGGACCCCTCCTCTGTTGTTGGGTGTCTGCTCAGGAAATCTGAATCTGAGCCTCTGAATCTGAGGCACCGCTGTGTGCATCCCCACCCCCCGACCAAGACCTACTGGGTGTTGGGTCTTCTGAAATCGTGACCCTGTCAAGATTACTAAGATGCACCTTGCCAAGCACCTGTGTAAACCTGTACCGGAAGGCACAGGAGAGAGCGTAGAGATGTGCGTGCCTGTGCAAAACAGCTGTGGGGAAGAAAGGCGAGGGCAGCCGAGGGGGGGCTGTGGGGACAGGGAGGGAGGCTGGCTCACGGGGTGTCAGGACGAGGGAGTGGTGGCGTCCCTGGCCAACTCCACAGTCTCCTTCTCTCCCAAGGCCTGGGGCTGTGGGAGACCCTCTGGCTGCACAGGTGAAAGGACCCCTTTTGCACCAGGAGAGAGACGTTGGTGCCCGTGACTCTGCCCGGTGTTTCCTCTTGGTGGGTGTGCTCGGGGGTGGTGTTTGAAGCCCTGGTTTTATGGTCTTGTTTTTTGTTTTCCATTTTGTTCTCCATCCTGTTTCCCAGGGAGCCCTGGAGGAGCAGCTGGCCCTCAGCGGTGACGGCGCCTACAACGCACACTTCGGGGAGAGCATCGCCAGCCTGGGGGACCTCGACGATGACGGGTTCCCAGGTCAGTGAGCTCGCACCTGCCCTCTGGCTTCGCCCTGGCAAGATGCGCTCCTAGAATCACCTGCCTGCGCAGAAAGCCCCTGCGGTGGGGAGCGGGGTGCCCTTTAGAGAAGATGTTCTCTGCGCGGACACTCAGGGCTGGGCTCCGAGCCCACTGCTTTAGCTTCCACGCGGTACCTTCTCATCAGCCCTGAGGTCTTTGCTGTGTGTTCGCGGTGCGAGTGACCTTGGCCGGGCCCCTGGCGCTGCCTGTTGCAGACAGGTTTGACCCAGCACCCTCCTGCCTGCAACCCTTCTTGCGTCTGAGCCTCTACCGTGTTACCGTGTTGTTTGTACAGCGAGTGAGGAGGGAGCCAGACCTTGTCAGCCCCGAGCGGGACGGACCTGAATGCGCCCGTGCTGGGGGTGGGGCCGTGTGCACTGATGTCCACTCTGCCTGGACTGCAGACTCCTTCATGGCCCCTCGGCCTCTCCCTCTGGTCTGTTCAGGGCTTGCTGTGCATGCAGTAGACGGACATCAGGACATGCAGGAGCCCCGTCGCTAGGGGCATGCCCAGGGGCGAGCCGGCTGGGGGATGGCTCTTGCCTCAGGCCAGACAGCCAGGCTCCTTTGATACCCTCACACCCTGGCCAGAGAGGACCTTGGCTTGAGGTCCCGTGAGCGCGTGCCCCTCACCCTTGACCTCAGTTCTGCAAACACATGACTTTTGTTAGAAGCAAAGGGAAGAAAGTCAGGAAGATCTAGGCTTTGTTCTGGGGGGTTGTCAGTCTGTGAGGGTAACGTTCATTTTCTCTTCTCTTCTCTTCTCTTCTCTTGGAAGTGAAGGCCATTTTGTACAAGCCCCTTCTCCAGGAACAGCTGACTTTCTCAGTTACGCAATAACCATAGTCTATGGAATTCCCCTCTCTGACAGAAATCCGGGTGGGTGTTTGTATTTGCATTTTTTTAATTGGATGGATCAATTAAGTTTTCTGTAAGGATGAGAGGTTGGAACTTTTCTGGAACTAAACCCTTCTCAGTGTTGATGATTTTCTTTCTACCTGTTTTTTCCCCCCCTTCTAAGAGATTGTAGGCCTAGTTTAATGTCTGAGCAGCCAACAGCAAGGAAATTTCTGGTATGGAGGGACGCAGGTGAGGGTGGGAAGGAGGGAAGTCATCCTTAGTCACCCCACGTGGCTTTCTAACCCCGGCTGTCTTCTCCCCCCAGATGTGGCCGTGGGCGCACCCGAGGAGGATGACTTCTCGGGGGCCGTCTATGTCTATCACGGAGACGGCGGCGGGATCACCCCTCGGTACTCAATGGTAATTGCTGTGACAGCAACGTGGGAACGGCTCACACCTTCCCGGCAGGAACGTAGGGAGCCTGCAGCCCGTGCCACACCCCGGGGTGCAGAGGAAAACACAGCATGCTTTCTACCTTCGACCTTCACAACCTCCAGTGAAAGAGAGAAACAATGGGTTTTGCTCATTAAACACAAAGACGTGTTCAGAGACCCCCGAGTTTGCGCACATTCAGAGGCGCGTTCTGCCTGTGTGGAGGGTTACACCCAAGCCCTTACCCCCAGCTACACTTGTTTAAGGAAGATGGACCAGCGGCTTGCTTTCTTTACTGACTCCTTTGTCAACCGTCTGTGCAAGCCAAAGGAATATGCTGTAAAATAGAAAATTTTTAAGTTTATTTATTTATTTATTTTTGGGAGAGAGAGAGACCGCATGAGCAGGGTAGGGGCAGAGAGAGAGGGAGAGAGAGAGAGAGAGAGAGAGAGAGAGAGAGAGAATCCTAAGCAGGCTCCACACCATCAGTAGGGCCTGATGCGGGACTCGAACTCCCAAAACCGTGAGATCATGACGTGAGGTGAAACCAAGAGTCAGATGCTTAACCGACTAAGCCACCCAGTCACCCCCAAAATATAATTTTTTTTAATGTTTGTTTATTTTTGAGATAGACACAGAGTGTGAGTGGGGGAGGGGCAGAAAGAGAGAGGGAGACACAGAATCTGAAGCAGGCTCCAAGCTCCAAGCTGTCAGCACAGAGCCGACACAGGGCGCGAGCTCATGATCTGTGAGGTCCTGGCCTGAGCTGAAGTCAGAGACTTAAGTGACTGAGCCCCTGAGGTGCCCTGAGTTGTAAAATATAATGTAGAGGCAGTGGTCTCCGGAAGAGAGGCTTGAAAGCTGTTGCAGGGCGGATGGTTGTAATTGGCATTGAAATGAGGAGCTGGTCAGAGCTCTGGCCTTGGGCCCCAGACTTGGGAACGTGGAAGTGGTGAGTTGTTTTTTTGCTGTATCAGCTGGGTGTTCAGTCTTGCTGATGGTGTTAAGCCCAGACCATGGGAAGAAAGGAAGTCACTGTTTGACAGAAGCATCGTCAGGGTATTTGTGGAGGCCTGTGTCATTCTCCTAGTGAGTGGGTCAGTGACAGAAAGGGACTGAGCACAAGCTGAGAAATTTCCCATCAGCAAATATTGATCTATTGAGCGCTTCTGTGCTCACCGCTTCCTGCTCCTGCTTCTATTTCTCATCCCGAAGAAGCTCGCCTTGTATCTTGATTGTCGCTAAGGAAACAGAACTTTTGACTGAGTCATGTTCTTGTAAAATGTTCTATAGATGAAGTATTAGTGAGTTTCAAAGCCTGTTCACGTACTGAAGTACATGAAGGTGAGACAGAGACTTTACAAGTTGGTTTTAAGAGGCAGTGTGCGTAAGTGTAAGTTGTCTGTGCAGGAGACACAGGTGAGCCGGGGAAGGGTTCACCGTTGGTGTGTGGCTGGCGTCCAGCGCCCTCTCTGCCGGGGCCCGCCAGCTCGGTGACTCCCACAGGAGCAGATGCTGCCGACGGAGAGGAGCGACCACTCTGCCCGGTGTTCTTAGTCCTTGTCGTAATCCTGTGAGATGGTGTCTTTACCATCCACCTTTGCCTTGTGAGGGGCCCAGCCCCGGGAGGTGGCTTTGCTTGTCCAAGGTCTCTGGCTTGTAAGGGGCAGTATGGCCTCTGAAACTCGGTCGTTCTGACTCCCAAATCCTGTATTGTAACCATGCCCTCAACTCCACACCGGAGGAAGGAACACTCAGGGAAGCTCACCTGGAAAACTTAGAAATAGGGAAACTTACTTTGCTTGTGAGGCACGGGTTTACCCGGACCACCGTCTTTTCATTAGAAATGAGTAATGGTGGCGTTTCGCTCGTAGGTGGCTTAGCCGATGGGGCAGGCACAGGTTAGGGGCCACATCTGTGTTGTGCGGGCTGCCGGGCTGCCGTCATCTGAGGTAGGGACCTTCTTCCCGATGGGACAAGTGGGACGGCCTCCAGGGGACCGTGTCCTCGGGCAGTCGCCAGGGTCACTTTCCACGCATCCTTCTGGAAGCTTGCTCCTGGACCTTGGGAGCGAACCCTAGGGAGGGGCAGCCTGTCAGACAGACCCCTGCTTCCCCTCCTGCAGTGTTGTGTTTTGTTGCTGGGCGGACCCCCCGCGGCGCGCTGCTGTGCAGATCCTGTGGTCAGCTGGGTGCCAGCAGCAGGAAGCGGGGATCCACAGCTGCCTCTGTCAGCATGCCTCAGGCCCCTCAGCTCCACAAGCAGAAGTGGTCTGGGGCACTTTAAAACAAAAAAAAGGAAAGACACATCCCTGCTTATACTTCACTAAGCTGCTAACATGTATACGATAAGGTCAGTGATTTAAAAGGAAAAAAAAAACCCTTTAGCAATTCTTCAGGGCTGGGGTCCAGACAGAGCGGGCGTTGTGCTGGTGAACCAGAGGAAGAAATCAGAAACAGCTCTGGGCAAAGGGGTTGCTTTTCTTTGGCCCGGACCGTATTATTTCTGCCGGATAAACTGTGAGATCAGGGCTGAAGTTCGTCCGCATAACTCTTTAACTCATTCCTCTTTCTTGAGTTCCCCGTGAAAAGCGTTGGTTCTAGGATCCTTGTGTGCCTTGCTCAATTTGAGAGCCCCCGGGTGTGTCCAGGCGGCCCCTGTGATCTTTCTCTGCTGTAAGGACACCGCGTGTCGACCTGGTCAGGCAGAGGTTTTCCAGGCTCCTGGTTTTCATTTAGGGTTATTAGCACTGAGCAGACTTATCTTCCCGGCTCTATGGATAATGGCCTGCAGATGTCTGTGGGAGAGCTTAAGCCGGCATCGCCACCCCAAATGGACCACCCCTTCGCTCTTCCCTCTGGTCCCAGCCACAGCACAGCTAGAAGCACAGACCCGGACCCGCCGCTGCGGGGCCCGAGGTGCTGGGCTTCAACATGCGGCTTTTAAGGAAGAGACACCCATACATGTCTGTTTAGACAGAGCCTGTGGGCTGAGGAGTTCTTCCTGCGAGCCAGACACATCCCTTCAGTGTGTGCTGCCTTCAGTGTGTGCTGCCGCGCTCTGTGCTCTGATTCCTACCGTGATGCGCACACATTTCCTGGTGGATGGCTTAACTGAAGACGGCAAGCAGAGGTCGTTTGCAACGGTGGGCTCCCGGGAGGGGTCGTGGAAGGTCCCTGTGTCTGTAAACCCTGTGGAAACTCCCTCTCCCCACTCTCATGACTTTGTCGCAGGCTGACTCAGTAAGGAAAAAGGATATGGAAGGAAAGTCCATAGGGAGCCCCTGGATATCCGCCAACCGGGTTCTGATAGGGATTTCGCTGTAGGACATGAAAGCAAAGCATTTTCCTTATCATCCACAATGAGGGCATGGGGAGGTAAGCCTCTCAACAGAGACTGGGTAAACAAAGGGAAGAAGGGACAGTCAGATCCCAGGGGATGGGACTTTCCTGATTCAGGAAGTGTGACATCTTTTGAGGAACTCTGCCACCCAAACAATGAATGAAGAGGGCTGGGTGTACGGTAAAGAGTCCCGAACCTGTACAGTCCTGTGTTAGCCGAAGTCGAACTTAATGATGAATAAAAGTACAGATGCCCCTTGGTGGTGGAGCTGTGAACTCCCCGGGGCTGCCTTTCAGGGAGGAGGGTGGCTTCGGCTGATTTTTTTGGATTTCCTACAGTTGGTAGAAGGTTCAGGGCCATGGAGCTCCAGGTTTAATAGACAAAACTGTTTCATCCTGTCTCGTAGATCTTCTGGTCAGCACACCAGAGTGGCGGTTTCTGTGTAGCCATCTTTTCTAGCGAGAAGCATAAATGGCCTATCCACGTAAGGCAAGACTAACATGAAGCTCCGAGGAGAGGGGTGTTCATGTTTGGTACATATTTCGGTAGAGAGATCTAAGGAAAACAGATTCTCAGAACTTCAGCCAGCTTGGGGCGCCTGGGTGGCTTAGCCAGTTAAGCATCCGATGAAGGCTCAGGTCATGATCTCACGGTTTGTGAGGCTGAGCCCCAAGTCAGGCTCTGTGCTGGCAGCTCAGAGCCTGGAACCTGCTTCAGATTCTGTGTCTCCCTCCCCTACCCCACCCCCACCCCTGGCTCATGCTCTGTCTCTAATAAATGAATATTAAACAATAAAAAAAAAAGAACTTCAGCCAGCTCTACCTGAGTGGAAACAAAACAGAACCTCTGTTGGAAATGGAAGTAAACATCCATTTCGAACTTCATTTGGCATGTCAAAGCATTGCACACTAGTCTAGGTGGATTTTTCATTAGCTGAGCTTGGAAACATTTCTAAACGATGACATGTGGCGCAGGCAAGTAATAATACAGGAGTGTGTGGTCTTCCGCTGCGTGCTAAAAACCCCACAGTCAGACTAGGACTAGTTTTCTCTTTCCACAGTTTGAGGACCAAGTGTCCTACAGAAGCTGCACAGAACAGTCCTCGGTTCTTACTTATGACTGTGCTCCTGTCCGGCAACTCAGCTTTCCTATTATCTGTTTCAGAAACTGTCAGGACGGAAGATAAGTCCGGTTCTGCGGATGTTTGGTCAGTCCATATCAGGCGGCATTGATATGGATGGAAATGGCTATCCTGGTAAGCTGTTTTTCTTTCAAGCAAATGAGATAAATGAGCATAAATGCACGAGGTAGAATCATTTCCAGTCTGGTAAGCAGTGGCCACGTCTATTGAGAATTAGGAAAATTTCCACAATAAAATGGGATGCTTTGCCTAGTATTTGATTGGAAGGTATTAAAAGTTGACTTTGGGGTTTTAGAATGATCTATGCTAGAGAGTTGAAGCACGAAAAGGGTGATTTTTAACAGTGATTTCAAAAGAAACAGAGCAAAAGTAAAACAAAGACAAAAAACAGGGATTTCTGTGGTAACATCTCTTTCTAATGAAGGAGAAAGCACTTTTCCACATTAAAAACAGTAGCGAAACCTCATGTTTTCCTCAATAATTACCCGATTAAGAGGCTTGTTACTCTTGAGAGGGAAAAAAGGAGCTGAGAAGTACCTTCTCCACCTCCCAGCTGTTGCAAGAAAATTTAAAAATTTGGAGCAGAAAAGAAAACCATGCCCTCTCCCTGATGGACAAAACAGACCTTCACCTTTCAAGGCTGGCTGCCTTGTCTTCAAGGTTAATGGATACCTTGTGGTGGTTGAGGTTACTTGAATAAAAATGTACGATTTCCACCCTCATCATTGGGACGGTGGTTCTTCTGGTGTTTGAAGGGGTGAGGTGAAGAAACAAGATAAAAATTAGAAAAAATTCAGATGTTCACCTGGGTGGCTCAGTCGGTTAAGTGTCAGACTCACTGTTGATCTCAGCTCAGGTCATGACCTCAGGATCGTGAGTTCGAGCCCTGTGTTGGGCTCTGTATTGGCCTCTGTGCTGGCATGAAGCCTACTTAGAAAGAAAAAAAAAAAGAAAAAGAATTTGAAAAAAAATCCAAAATCATTGTGGAATTCAGAAAACAGTTCCACAAAACCATAGACCATCTTAGCTACCTTGAGAAAGTATTTGTTTCCACTTAAAATGGCTCCGAGGGATCTCCGAAATCCAGTGCAATCATGCACAAGGGCACCAACTTTTTGTAGTTTCTGATGGGCAGCAGTTTTGATAATTTCTTGTGACTTTACCGAGCTAGGAGGAAGGGATGGGAAAGGGTTGTGGTTGAAGGCTTTGTTCCTGTGGACCCTCATGGGTCTTTTTAAGTTGGAAAAAGCAGTTGTTCTTGTTTGGGGGAATTTGTGGCCACCTCACAATAATACCTTACGTTGGCTTAGCACTTTAAATGCAAATTGCTTCCACGTGCAAGATACATCTTCTAGTTAGTGCCGCAGGTAGGTAGAGAGGGGGTCTCCCCCACTTGACAAGAATGCTGAGCCACAGAGAACTTAGGGGCCTGGCCAGAGACCACACTATGTGGGTGGGGACAGAGCTTCAGCCCTGCCCGTACAACATTAGTGACCTGTCTGAATTTCTTGCCTTCTTTGGTAGAAGAAATGACACATTGCTCTGGTTCTTTTCTTTTCAAATATCTAGTCAACCCTAAAAGACTACTGGAAACAAGAAAATCAACAAGCACACCCAAGTGCACAAATTTTAGCAAGACTATACTTCATGGATTTGCTGTTTCTTTTTCCTTGATGAGAGCGTTGTATAGAAATGGGGATTCAGGCTCTCTGGGATTCAGATGCTTGGTTCTGTGAAGTGGTAGTGGGAATCCCAGGACTAAGGAGTCTATATTTGAGGGGAAGAAAGGCAGAGAGCTCTTGGATGAGTACATACTTCCTACATTAAAGTTATCTAAGAGTAAATGTTACCAGCTAAAACTTGCGTCTTAGTTTGGAGTGTACTATTTCATGAATTTTCCGATGTGACTATATGATTTAATATATTTAACATGTACTTAAATATTTAAAAATATCCTATTTAGCAACTATTTAATTTTATATTTAAGAAATATTTAATAGAGGTCTTCCGATTTAAATGTTATGAACTCTTATCAGCTTTTGAAGAAGACACTAGGGATGATTGTGTCCACGGTACAGACAAGGACACCCTCAGAGCCTCCGGGGTCATACAGAGTGAGGGCTGGAGCAGAAATGATTCACAGATGTTCTACAGAAACTAGGGCTCTCTCCAGGTCCTTTAGTTCCAAATATCCATCTCTCTAGTTCACTGGTGTCCAAAAGATACATAACATGAGGCACATATATAATTTAAAATGTTCTCGGCATCACATAAAAAAGATAAAAAGAAATTGGTGAAATTAATTTCAGCAATTGATATAAAAAGTTTCGAGCTAGTTCATGTTTTTGTACCACGTCTTTGAAAGAGGTCTGTATTGTATATTCCCCACGCAGCTTCGTTCAGACTGGCCATGTTTCAGGGTCTCCAGAAGCCACACCTGGTGATTGGCTACCGCGCAGGACAGTGTGGCTATAATGTTTATGAGATCATTGTATGGCCCAGCGGAAGGCCGTCAGGGGCCCCTGACCTCAGTGCTGGGCCCCCATGTGGCTGTAGACCTTGGGGAGGTGGGGGGATGGGCTTCAACACGTTTCTGAATGCTCTCAACTTCTCATTTTCAGATGTAACTATTGGAGCCTTCATGTCCGACAGTGTAGTGCTTCTCAGGTGAGATGCTTCCTCTGCTTCTCGAGTTCCATTCTTCATGGTGGGGGCTGCAGTTTGGTGATGGGGATGGTAGGGGGAATTCTTCCCTGTTCGTCAGTAATTCCCTCTGTCCTGTTCCGGGAGGCATTCCGGGAAGTAAGAGTGCTGCCTTTCTTTCCTCGCTCTTCCCATCGCCTGTCCCAGAGCCCCAGCTGGTGCACCTGGAATGGCCTGCAGCGATGAGGGGTAGCGGAGGTTCTAGACTGACTTGGGGTGGCTTAAGCCCTAGGGGTTTTGCCTTTTGCCTTGAGCAGCTGCGTCATTAATGTGTATACGCTGCAGGGTTATTTCCTCTGAAGCACCACCCTGTCCCTGTCTTTGTCCCAACCTGTCCCTGTGGGATGTCCTGGGGGCTGGGAGCCTCCTGCCCTTTGGACAGCACCTCAGTGCCTGTGGAGGCAGTGGGGAGGGGTGTGAGCTCGGCCCGGGGGCGCCCAGAGCCCAGGCAGCCGGGATCTCGGCTCTCGCCTACACAGGCTGCCGCTGCCATCCCGCCGCGAGCCCTCTCCAAGGGTTTCTGTGTGTGTGAGTCAGAGGAGGCGGGATCACCCTTTGGAGTGGGAGCCAGTCCTTAGGTTTTGTTAATAACCCGATGGCAGAACTTTCTAAAATAGGCCAGTGGGATCTCAGAGCTGGAAGGGATCCCAGAGGCCATGGGGTCGCACAGCACATCCCTCTCATCCAGCGGCGCCGTCCCCCAGCCTCTAGCCACGAGGCACCCCCCCCCCCTTGAGCGAGGTGCCCCAGGGTTAGCCGGAGGCAACTGGGAAGGTCAGGTTGTTGGAGGCAGAATCGCCTCAGGTTAGGGGGGTCAGCTGGGGGGAGGGGCCGTGTGGCCTCGGTTCGAACCGCTAGTCTGTTGGCAGGAGGGGTGTCCTGGGTGAGTCAGGTGGCCTCCCTCAGGGTTCTCACCCGTAAACAGGGTGACAGCCGTGCTCGCCTCGCTGGGTTGGCAGAACGCAGTCAGGTCGAGTTCACCCTTCAGGCAGGTGGTCAGTACGCGTTAGCCGTTCTTCCACAAACTGGGCTAAATTTGCCTCCCGAAAATTCTGCCTCTGGTCCCATGCCTTGCACGCAGCCGCCCTTCAGGACCTGACGGTGGCGGGCGTGCCCCCAGGCCGTGACTTCACCAGGAGGACACCTTCCTGGCTGTTTTCATCACTGCGTGTGACCAGGTGTCCACTCTCTTCGTCACCCTCCCCATGGGCTGGCCGTTGCCTCTGAGATAAAACAGCTCACCGGCCGCAGATGGCTGAGGCCACACCGCAGAAGCCGAGTTTACCCACCACCTTTGTGCCTCTGCGGTGTCTTCCCCTCCGCGTCGCCCCGAGCAGCCTGCTCTGGCGTGTCGCGGTTCCTCTGGAACCCAACACGTTCCGGTTCCCCGGCCTCGCGGCTGGAAACCAGGCCTTCTCAACGCTGGGAGCGTCTGGCTTCGGGTGGATCCTGGGACTTCTCCTTTTCCATCATTCTTGTATTTTACACACTTCCAGCTGTGAGCCTCGGCCCAGAGGGGGTTTCTTTCCCTCCCTTCCATGGTGACGCGCGCCTTTGCCCACACATGGATGTAAACGTCAGGCGAGGCAGTCACCCGGCGGATGGGAGCCCCGGGCCCCAGCCCGGGGTGGAGGTTGAATCTGGTGGGGACGGGGTCCTTTGGGGAGAATGCCAGAGACCACGTATCAGGAGAAGAGGCTTCCGGAGAGGGGCTGCGGGGCCCGGCCCGGACGCGGTGGTCAGCAGGAGGCCCGAGAGCCGAGGGAGGAGTGTGCAGCGGTGACGGGAGCCCAGACGCCCGTTCCCTCATTTGTTGGCTGATGTCGTTGGCCTGTCGTGGTGCGGCTGTGCCTGGCCCTGGGTGCACCCTGGAGAACGATAAACAAGTAAATAACACCACTGGTGTTTGGCAAGTGCCCGCCTACCACGCGCCAGGCGCTGTTCAGGCTCTCACATGCCTGAACTCTTACTGGTTCTTCTTGTTTTTTCTTTCTTTCTGTGTTAAGGTAAATTTGCATAGAGTAGAGCCCGGCCATTGGAGCCTATGCCTCGATGCGTGTTTACCAGTGTAAGCGACTGTGTAACGGCCACCCCAGTAAGATAAGTAACGTGGCTCAGTCGGTTAAGTGTCCAGCTCTTGGCTTTGGCTCAGGTTGTAACCTCACGGTTCATGGGTTCGAGCCCCACATCAGGCTCTGCACTAATCATGTGGAGCCTACTTGGAATTCTTTCTCTCTCCTTCTCTCTCTGCCCCACCCCCACTCATGTGCTCTGTCTGTCTGTCTCTCAAAATAAATAATAACTTAAGAAAAAGATAACATTTCCATCACTTCAGAAAGTTTCCTCCACCCTCTTCCCAGTTATGCCCCCTCCTGCCAGACACCCCTCGGTCTGACGTTGGTCACCGTGGGTCAGAGCTCTGCCTTTTCGAAGGTTTCACGTGAGTGGAATTCTGTAGTAGTCACCCTCTGGCCCTGGCTTCTTTCACTCAGTATAACATTTCTGAGACATCCTTGGTGTGTGTGCTGTTCAGTCCTTCTTTTCCCCTTACTGAGTGTCATCCATTGACTGAATATATTATAGTTTGCTCATTAGTTCTCTTGTCGATAGAATATATTTTAATGCTTAGTTTCTTTTTTTAATTTTTAAAGCTTGTTTGAGAGAGAGAGTGTGTGGGGCAGGGGCAGAGAGAGAGGGAGAGAGAGAATCCCAGGCAGGCTCCGTGCTGTCAGTGTGGAGCCCGAGGCGGGGCTTGAACTCATGAACCATGAAATCATGACCTGCGCTGAAACCAGGAGTCAGATGCTTAACCGATTGAGCCCCCCAGGTGCCCCTAATGCTTAGTTTCTTTAGCAGCCCCATGACATACATGTTTGTATTATTCCCATTTTATGGTTGAGGAAACCAAGTGACACTGAAGTTTTATTAATTTTAAAAATTAAAATTAACACTGGTGGTCAGTGCCAGGACGATGATCGAGCAGGGTTATGTGGTCCAGGGCACCCGCCCGCATCAAGCCCCGCAGAGAAGGCCATGCAGAGCGAGTCTTGTTAGAGGTGGCGGTGCGAGGTCAGCGGTGTCCTTGGCTCTGGCCTGTCTACAGGAGTGAGGGGCAGCAGTCAGATCCCTGTGGGTGGGTGGGAGACAGAAGGAGAAGCAAAAAAACAGATGGTGTAGTTTGACTCCTTTCTAGAAGCTAGGCTCCAAGGGAGCAAATGGGATTGCCACCTGGCTCTGAGATCAGGCTGAGAGTGTCTTTGAAGCCTCCCCTGGTCTCCTGAGTCCCTTACTATGCACAAGAATCGGAGGTGGTCACCTTTGGCTTCACCCTCAGCCATACAAACCTTGCCTAACCTTGCTCTTGCCTTGGGGCCTGAAGAGACAGGGAGGAGAGGGGGAGGGTAAATGGGGGTTGGGGTTGCAGGAGGAGGGGAGGTGGGATGTGGTATGTAGGCCGTGAGTGGCAGGGACCTCGACTTGGGGCTGGGCCCCAAGATTGAGACAGGCCCTAGGCAAGGTTCAGCGTGGGGCCTGGGTGAGGATGACCTCCTCACGTCTCTTCCGGGAGCTTACGGTACTCAGAGTGCAGGGAAGGCCTTGCAGGGGAGCTGGGGCCCATTAGAGAGGGGACGGGGGAGCAGGCAGAGGCACTGAGGGTGTCTCAGGGGCCAGGAAGGCTGGCCGTCTGTGGTGGCCTCTGTTGATAAGGCGCTGGACGTGGCGGAACAACTGTGGACAAGAAGGAGTGGCCACGGCAGCTGGCTAGGCGAGGTGGGCCTCCCCGGCGTGGCCTAGCTGACTGGCAAGTTGGGTGGACCTGGAGTCACCTCAGAGTTTGGGTGGGACCAGAAAAGGACCCCAAATGTGTGTGCACATGTGTAAAACACAGCATGCCCGTTCTCACCCTTCTGAAGGAAGAGAGCCCACATGTGTATGGGCTCGGAAACCTCTGGGCTGCCGTTAAGAGAAAACCTTACTGAGAGTAGTTTTAAGTACTTAGACCTTAATTAGCTTCCCGGGTGAGACGGCTCCAGGGCTGTTTAGTAGCCTGAGATCTTCACCAGGGGTGTAGGCTCTTTGTCCGTCTGCCAGTGTCTGTCCTGTAAGCAGCACCTGCCCTCGCGGAAAGCTGGGCTAATGGGAGCCAATTCCACATCCAAGGACATCCTAACCGGCTTTACTATTTGCCTAGAAGTAAATACAGGTGAAATACAGATCTACCTTGACTTAGGAAGGAATAAGTGTTATGATGAACCCATTATAAATTCAAAATATCATAAGTCGAAATGCATTTACTACCTGTAACGTCCTGAACATCACAGCTTCGCCTAGCCTACCTTGACTGTGCTTAGAACACTTACATTTGCCTACAGTTGGGCAGAATCATCCAACACCAAAGCCTATTTGATAACACAGTGTGATTATCTCATGAAAATTGTTGAACACTCTACGGAGCATGACCAGCAGAGTGGCCATGTGGGTGTGGAAGGGTTGCCTCTCGTGACTGGTGGCTGACCATAGGCCGCTGGCCCGCCCTCCTCCCCCAATCATCCCACCTAGCACCAGCACACGACAAGACCCAAATTCACAATTCAAAGTTCAGTTTCTACTAAATGCATGTGGCTTTCGCCCCATCATAAAGTTGCAAAATCATTAAGTCAAACCATCGTAAGTCAGGGACCATCTATATTGGGACCTGAACTGTGAGTCATCAGAAAGAAGTGTTCTGGGGGCGCCTGGGTGGCTCAGTTGGTTAAGCGTCTGACTCCGGTTCAGGTCATGATCTCATAGTTCGTGGATTTGAGCCCCGCGTCGGGCTCTGTGCTGACAGCTCAGAGCCCGCAGCCTGCTTCAGATTCCGTGTCTCCCTCTCTCTCTGACCCACCCCTGCTCACACGGTCTCTCTTTCTCTCAGAAATAAATAAAAAACATTTTAAAAAATTAAAAAATAAAGAAAGAAGTATTCCAGCCACCAGCTTTTTAAAACTAGTCTTGGGGCGCCTGGGTGGCTCCGTCTGTTAAGCATCTGACTTCAGGTCAGGTCATGATCTCATGGTTCGTGGGATCCAACCCCGTGTCGGGCTCTGCGCTGACAGTGCAGAGCCTGCTGGGAATTCTCTCTGCCTCCTCCCACTTATGAGTGCTCTCTTCACTCTCTCAAAATAAATAACCCTTCAAGACCCGGAGGCCTTGCCGTGCTGTCCCCGTGGGCCCCTTTGCTTTCTCTCCGGGGCCGGCCCAGCTCTGCCCTGCGGAGTTTGCGGTCTCAGCCCAGCCTGGGAGGGCAGGGCGTGCGTCGGGGGGCCGCTGCTGGCTCTGTGCTGCTCAAGTTCAGAGGAAATGGTGAGAGAGTTTAGGAGGGAGTTCGGGGCTTTCTCTGGTCCAAAAACAATTCTTGGAACTGAAACAGGTCCACGGGCCTGATCTGACTGACGTTGGCGGGACGTGTGCTTCTGAAGGTCCTTGTCCTCACACCGGAGGGTGGCGTGCGGGACGCCTCGCCCTGCTGCCCTCCGCGGGGCTCTGTGTGAGGGAGGGCCCGGCGGCCCCCCGGCCCGGTGGCGCCTGGCCTGGTGCAGGCAGAGAGGCCTTTCTTCCCTGCGGTGACCGGGCAGGGCGCAGGCTCTGCTGGGGTGGAGACGAGCTCTCCGGTGCCTCGGTCGGTCACGCGAACCTTTGGGCCCTCCTGTGGTTTTCAGCACCTTGGCCTAGAGTGAAGTTGGTACCCATTTAACACCTAGGGATTAAAAAAAATTTTTTTAACGTTTATTCATTTTTGAGGGGGGGGGAGGAGCAGAGACAGAGGGAGGCACAGAATCTGAAGCAGCTCCAGGATCTGAGCTGTCATCACAGAGCCCGACGCAGGGCTCGAGCCAACGAACTGCGAGATTATGACCTGAGCCGACGTTGGATGCTTAACTGACTGAGTCCCCCAGGCGCCCCTAGGGGTTTTGAATTCCTATCCTGAGGACATCAGAATGATTTTGCCGGGACCCTAGCCCTTGAGGGGCCTGCAGGCTGGTGGGGCAGGTTTGGAAATAGACAAAGACCTTAATTAATAAGCAAGGGGAGGTGTGAATATAGTGGGGGGCGGGGGACCCAACTTCCAGGGCTCTTCGGGAGGCCTCCTGGGAGAGGGATGCAGGCTGGCTATGGAAGGACCCCTGGGCTTTCGGGAGTGTCTGATGGCACCCGCACAATCACACGGCCTGAGAGCAGCCTATTTGTTTTCTGAGTTACTTGTAGCATCTTCTGAGGATGAGCCCAGAAGCCAGTCGGAGGCCAGGACGTGGGTTTCTTTCAGGCCCTGCTGTTGTCTGACTTCTGCTGGCCTCCCAGCCGGATTTGCTCCGGGAGGCCCCCCATCCCGTGGGCTTGTCACAGCTGTCCGGTCCTGGCCCACATCCACGGCCCTGGTGGCGTCAGTGACAGCTCCTCACCCCTCTGGGTCTCCTTCCTTCCCTCTTCATCCCAGGTTTTCCTTCACACTTGCGCCTCTGGGAGCTGCGTCCCTCTTTCCCGTGTGTCCTGTCCCGTGGGCGCCCTGCAGGTATTTGCACACAGGGGAGGTCATTGTTCTCAAGCCGCTAAGGCCGCTTCATCTTGTTATGTCACCCTGTGGCTTGAAGCCCGGGGCTCCCTAGAGGTAAGAGGAGCCCTTTGTGAGCCCTGGTGGGGAGAAGGTTCTGCCGCAGCTCAGGTGCACCTCCTGAGGACCCACGGAGGGGGCTGCCCGTCCAGCCAGCATGGGGTGGGGGTTACGGGTGGCCTGTGCTGGTGACGAGACTGAGGACACTTATAGGTTTCACTTGCTCCCGAGGCCAGAACTTGAGGTCTTCAGCTCTGCCGTGCTTTGCTGCTACCAGCTGGGCTCTGTGCGTCAAGTCTTTTAGGAAAATAATGAATTGAAGGAGTAAATGAAGGGGAAGGTTTGACCCACCGGTGGGACCGGGGCTCCGTAGTTCTGCTCACAGTGACATACCTGCTTTGGGGGGATTCCCCACGGTGCATCTGTTTCTCCAGTCCTGGCATCTGCCCTAGGAACTCCTCTTAAATATATTACTGTCTTCCTGATAAAATGGAAATCGGAACTTAATTGGTAAAATTTTAAATAATCACCCAACATCTGGTGGTTCGTTTATGGCTTCAACCAGATGCGTTTTATTAACAACTTACTTGCCTTTATTATTGGGAAGCTAACCATTAATTTGGTAGGAAATAGGCCACTTCTAAAACCAGGAAAAAGTATTTACAGGACACATTGGCCCTTCCCTCACGGGTTATTTCATGGTTTAATTAAATGCTGGGCTGAAGGCCTAGGATTTCTCTCGCCCGGTTAGTTTCTGTTTGGTTCTGAGAAAGCATGACTCAATCACCTCTGTCTCTGGCACGCAGGGCGAGGCCCGTCATTACGGTGGGCGTCTCCATCTTCCTCCCGGCCTCCATCAACATCACGGCGCCTCAGTGTCACGATGGGCTGCAGCCTGTGAACTGCCTGAACGTCACCGCCTGCTTTAGCTTCCACGGCAAGCACGTTCCAGGAGAAATTGGTAATGAGCCACTGGGTGAGGGCTCGGGATGACCACCTTGGCTAGAGTGGGCTTGCGGGATTGTGGCCGTCGATGGAATCTTTTGGATTCTTCGCTCTCCCTGTGCATTCCGGCTGGTTTTGCAGGCAGCAGGCACACAGGCCAGGTGCCCTTCCCCTCTGGGGTTCTTGCCTTTCCTGCTTCCCACAGTTTCCCTAGTTTCACTTAATGTCCAGCTCTAGAACAAATACCATTTGACCCCAAGCATCCTTTACCCAAATGTGTGACCAGACTGAAACCTCACTGGGCCACAGGTGTCACAGGCCAGGGGGACTCGTGGAAAGGTAGTGACTGGAGCCTGGAGAACATTCCATTCAGTTAGAGAAAAGAAGTGGTGGGTCTTTGGGGATGTCCCCTGAGCCTGTGGCCCCAGCCAGACATCAGGGCCCTAAGCCGGAGGCGGATGAGACTGAGGATGGATGGTAAGATTGGGCTGCGGAGTTTTCTGGAGGCTGAGGCTTGCGAAAGACGGGGAGTTGCTTTATCGGCTTCATATGATTGAAAAGAGAGCGCCAGCCCTGCCGGCCTGTGGCGGGGGAAGGCCGACTTGCCAGCCTGGCTCCGGAGACCGCGCCGAGCCCTGGAGCAGGATGGGCCTGTAGGGAGGAGAGCTCGGTGTGGTCACCTGAGGAGCTGGGTCTGGAGCAGTTGTGCAGCTCAGCAGGTGTTTGGTTTGTTTTTTTTTTTTAATGTTTTATTTATTTCCAGGAGAGAGAGAGAGAGAGACAGCGTGAGCAGGGGAGGGTCAGAGAGAGAGGGAGACACAGACTGAAACAGGCTCCAGGCTCTGAGCTGGCAGTCAGCACAGAGCCCGACACGGGGCTCGAACCCACGAACCGCGAGATCATGACCTGAGCGAAAGTCGGACGCTTAACCGACTAAGCCATCCAGGCGCCCCACAGGTGCTTTGGTTTTACTTGGAGGCTGATTTAATAATAGAAAACAGAGTTCTAGGAAAAAGAATAACTTACAGCACAATAAGGACATGGACTTCCTGCCTTTTTAGACATTTAAAAAAATTTTTAAACATTGATTTATTTTTGAGAGACAGAGACAGAGAGAGGGAGGGGCAGAGACAGAGGAAACACAGAATCTGAGCTGTCAGCACAGAGCCCGACACGAGGCTCAAACCCACTAGCAGTGAGATCATGACCTGAGCCGGAGTTGGGTGCTTAACCGACTGAGCCCCCCAGGCGCCCCTTCTTAGACACTTTTAGAATCAAGTGTCTCCCTTCCCTACCCACACTGTGGTCCCTGGACCCAGCAGTGCCAGCATCTCTGGGGGCTTATTAGAAATGCAGAATCTCAGGCCTTGCTCTAGACCTCGGTGTCAGAATCTGCATTTTCTTAAGATCCCTTAAGATCTGTGTGCACATTTATGGTCGAGAAGCACTGCTCTGGAGTGTGTGTGGGTGTGCATGTGTGTGTGTGCACACACCCAGACATGCAGAAGTACACTTCCATGTGCCCACCTGCTTCTCAGCTGCACCTTGAATGCTCCACCTTATTCAACAGCGTGCTAATCCTTCTAGGCTAACGGTCTCATAACTTTATCTTGATCTTCCCGTGGATTGACTAAGTTCTGCCATCAAACCTTGAGCCTTTTCATATAAATAGTTTTTGAAAGAACTTAAAAATTTCAAAGCAGAATGTAAACATACCATGAACTTGAGACTTGGTTAGTGAGAGGGGAATAGCAAATGTTTTATGTATGGCCCAGTGAGGAAAAGATTGTGCTCCGTGAGAAAAGTACCTGCTTGTGATCACATCACTACTGGTGAAGCCTGGAACTGAATCTCGGTCTGATGACGCTTAGCTTTGCTTTCCAAAAACTGTTTAAAACCTCAGTCTCTCGGGAAAATTTTTGTTTTCTCTTGGTCCTGGGACCCATATGTCCTCTGCCTAACTGGAAGGTGTGTCTCCTATCAGATGCCAACTCCTGATGTAGCTTGGACTCCATTGAAGAACATCATACAAGGATTGTTGAGTTGAAGGCTAATGTTGATGTGCATAAAAATAAGCAGAACTCTTTTAGAACTCTAAAATAAGCAAGTGATTGATAGTTCTTGTGTGTGCTCATCTGACAAGTGTTTATTGCGCGCCTACATGTGCCAAGCGTACCTTCGTGGAGCCTCTAATGGAATGACAGAGTTTCCATTATTCTGATCGTGAAGCAGTGTACACATTCCCAGGCTCTTCAGTGATATCGCTGTTAGGGTGGAAAGGAAGGTAATTTGGCAGAACAGGGACAGAGGAGGAGAAACCCAAGATGTAAGTCCTGAGCAGGAGGGACTCAGAGCACAAGAAAGGTCATAGCGAAAACTCTGATTCGAAGGTTCGTGGGCTGAACTCGGAGGATGTGGATGTCCCTCATGGCTCCCCACTGGTGGGCCTTTCTGCACCCAGTCACAGGGGCCCCTTTCGTTGACCTCTAGGGAGAATTATAACAAAGTCTAGGCGTAACCACAACCCTTGAAGTGTCAGGGAATAAAGGGAGAAACCGGCAGGTGGGTGGCACCAGGCACTGGCCCCCTGTGGAGCAGAAGAGCTGCCCCACTCAGCCTTCTTCCTTACCCTCCGGGGGCCACATGGGCTCGGGGAGAACTCAGACATCCCAAGGCAACCTAAGTGGGTATTTCCCCACATTGATTTAAGGACTGAGCCTTAGTGTTCATGGTAACAGGGGAATTTTGGTATTGGTAGGGCAAGGCAGAAAATTATCACAGCCTGTTTTTCTTTTCCATCCCCTGGCATTCAGGAAAATGGGCTGTATCTCCATCCTTGCTGAAGGTGCCCTGCACGGTCAGGAGGATCAGGTCTCCAGAGCGGGGAGGGGACCAGCATCCTGCAGTCTTCCAGGCTCAGCCCAGCTGACCAGCTCAGTGTTGCGGCCCAGGCCTGTGCATTGGGACCCCTGAGTTCAGCTGTGGCGGAGCCTGGCTGGGGGCAGTTTTGGTCATGGAGCGCCTGGCAAATGAATGTCTGCCTTGGGCCAGCCTTTCTGGCACCTCTCAATGTCTGCCTCTCCAGGGCTGATATTGTCTGTAGAATGGCCACACTGGGGCCATGTGGCTGGTACGGTGCAATAAAGAGGCACCGGCGGTATGCTCCGTACTTGCGAACGGCTGTCAGAAGCATTAGCTAGCTGTTGGCATCTTGTCACAGGACCTCGCTCATAATGGTTTTGGGAGCTAAGGAGCTTCATGTGACTTTGACAGCCTTGCCTCTGGTTTCTCCTCTCCCTGAGGACCTGCTGGGGCTCAAGCATACGCATAGGGAAGGGACCCTATTCTCCCCTTTGTTTTCTGCATTAGCAATGGAAAACCACAGCTCCCACTTGCTCTCAGGACTGTTGAGGGCCAGCTGGTTGGCCAAGCCCCCGGAGGGGCAGTGGTGGCCCATGGCACTGCCGTGGAACTACACAGGCTCTCCGTAGTGGCTGGATTCAGGAAAGCAATGCCCAGTTACTGTAACAGAACTTAACACTGGGCACTGGCACAGCAGGTCACGAAGGACCTGGTCGTCACAGTAGGAGGTGCACCAGGTGGGCTCGAAGCGCGGCCTCCAGTCCAGCTGCAGCAGCAGCATGTGGGGGCTTCCGACTGGATCCGACACCGAGGTAAACTTTAGCGAGCCTCCGTGTGGCTTCGACCTGAGAACCACCGGTCAGGCGGACAAAGGGGAAAGGTCACACTTGGGGTTATCAAAATGTAGAAACTCAGGGGGTACCTGGGCGGCCGACTTCGGCTCAGGGCATGATCTCACGGTTCGTGGGTTCGAGCCCTACATCGGGCTCTGTGCTGACAGCTCCGAGCCTGGAGCTGCTTCAGATCCTGTGTCTCCCTCTCTCTGCCCTTCCCCCACTCGTTCCCTCTCTCTCTCTCAAAAATAAAAAGAATTAAAAAAACCTAGAAGCTCAGAGAAGGGACCCTGCAGACCTGGGACCTAAACCTTGGGGAAGGGCACTAGTGCTACTGGCTGTGACTCCCCGGGGTGCAGGGGACCCGCCTCCGGGGAGAGCTGTGGCCGGCTAAGCTGCTCGGAGTAGGAAGCAAGCGGGGCGGTACGGTCCCTCCTGCCCCCGCCGGCCTCGCGGCCTCCCTCAAGCTGTCCGTCCGTCTGCAGAGCCTCCTGCAGAACTGCTGGCAAAGCCGAAACGGGGTCTGCGGAGCCCCAGACCCGGTGTCGCCGAGCAGGGCGGGCTCAGGGCCGGGAGCCACAGCCTTGGGAACCAGCACAGCAGGCGGCCAGTCACGGGGCGTCACCGGAGCGCCTGTTGGGTCCTTCCGGCAGCAGAGTTCCCGAGTTCATAGGAGCCGGACTGTGCCTGCCCTGGGAGCAGAGCAGAGGCCAGCAGGGCCCTGGCCGCCTCCCCGCTTGCGCTCCGCAGGGAGGGAGGGAGGCCGACATAACCGGCCCGTGCTCCCTCGCTCCCTCTTCTGGGTGCATCTGGGCCCTTTGTGGGGTAGTAAGCGTGGTGCCGGTGCGGGCACACGTCCAGCGGCAGCGGTTCAAAGAGCAGATTTATAGCCCATCTCACCAAGCAGTTGAAAATACGAGTTCTGCCCACCCCAGGTCTTATTACTCACTTCACTCCTGGCCCGGGGAGCAGCCCTGTCCCTCCTCAGAGCCCCCTAGCTGCTGGAAGTAAGGGTGGTGAGTGCCGTGCCTGGAAGGGTCCTGCCCCTCACCCACCTTCTTCTGGGGTGACTTCAGTCTTTTTCTCATAAGATCTTTAACTGATCAGATGAGGCCCACCCACAATTTGGAGGGCAATCTGCTTGATTCAGAGTCCATTGATTTCAATGTAACTTCATTAAAAAAAACCTTTGCAATGACATCTAGATTGGGTACTGCAGCCTAGTCAAGTCGACACATAAAATAAGCCATCACAGGGGCACCTGGGTGTCTCAGTTAAGTGTCCGCCTTCGGCTCAGGTCAGGATCTTACAGTTGGTGAGTTCGAGCCCCGTGTCAGGCTCTGTGCTGACAGCTCGGAGCCTGGAGCTGCTTCGGATTCTGTGTTTCCCTCCCTCTCTGCCCCTCCCCTGCTCACACTGTCTCTCTCTGTCTCTCAAAAAATAAATGTTATAAATAAACAAACCTCACCACAGCCACACAGAAGGTGTGTTGTTGAGCAAGTTGTCTCTGCGGGCAGCTGGAGCTGAGTCCTGCTGAGAGTCACCCTGCACCCCTCAGAGTCACCTCAGCCAAGGGAAGAGGGACGTTGGTTCCCTGGCACTTCTGGTCTGCCATGCATGTGGGCAGAGCCACCAGAGAAAGCTCTCAGAAAAGGGGGTTTGGGTGCTGGCAGCCGCAAGCTGGGCCGGACAGCAGAGAGATGGGACGAGCCAAGGGGATATGGGTGGGAACTGATCCTGCCTGCTGTCTTCCTGTGGTCATTTCTACCCGGGCTTTCTGTGAGCCAGCGTGCTCATTGCCAGCAAGAGGGTCCACACGCTCTCTTCTCCCCATCCCTCCCTTTCTAAGGGAGGGCGGCTCTCCCACCTGCGCGGAAGGCAGGGCGGGCGCTGCTCAGGGCCAGGCCCGCTCAGCAGCTGTCACCGCCATGTTGGCGTGTTTGCCTGCCCGTGGCCTGGCTCGTCTTCCAGCAGTGGCCATGTCTAGCCCTGGACTTGCTGAACAGAACGTAGAGAGTCCATACTGTTGGGCCGTTGCTCAGGGAAATTGCGATCGGTAGAAATTAAATGTGCCAGAGTTCAGTTCCGGATCATTGTGTGTGTTTGGTTCTGCTGTCCGTCTGTGCAAAAAACCTGAGTTTTTGTTGTTGTTGTTTTGTTTTTGTCAGAAAATGTAAAAAATACACCAGGAACTGGTGTGGTTGGAATAGCCCTACCCCGGAGGATAGGAGAATTCTAGATTCGGCTCTGTGGCGGATGGCCTTTGGGCTAGGAGCAAGTCTGGGTTCCTTGTGGGGCCTCAGTTGTACATCTGAAAAGTGAGGGTTCTGAGCTGTATGACCCCTAGATTGCCCCAAAGCTGTGGCCTTCTGTGTGTCTGCCTCATTACCTGCTGTCGCCAAGGGAGTCCGTGTGTAAGTCTCATGTGGGCCCCTGTGTTTGCCCTGTCACGTGACTTTCCCACATGCATTCTTTCCTTCACAGTATTGCCTGTAGAATCCAGGTCTCAGGTCTCAGGACCCAGCCTGGACTTGGCAATCGGCTGTGCTGAAATAAACAAGTTGGGGCAGGCCGGCCCTTGCTGCCCAGGAATCTGCCAGGTGTCATGGCAAGATCCCCGAGATGGCAGGGGCCCAGGAAAACCATTAAACGCGTCAAAAACACGCCCCGTGGCAGCTGCAGATGCCTGTTCTGTCACTCCCCTCCCTCCCTGCTTGTACGCCCGCCCGTGGCCGATCCCTTTGATGTTATGAAAAGCCAGGGGCCTCGCGCTGCCCTGCCCCATACTTACACGTGGGCAGGTGTGAGTGCTTATTCCCAGTGTGGGGCCCCAGCTTCCAAGGGGCTGCTTTGTGGAGACGGGCATACTCCTGCCTTCCCATGGCCCCGTGGCCTCCTCTGGTCATTGTGGGGACAGAATGGTCCCTTCCTCTCACCTGAAAAGCGCCACATCCCCCTGAATCCACAGAGCGGTTAAAAATAAAAAGTATCACAGAGGGCTGTGCTCTGAAGCAGGGTTCTGTGGTGCAGAAAAGCAGCGAAATGGGTCTATTAACAGTATAGCTTATTAGCCTAATAAAATACCTTGTAGGGTTGCTGACTCTGAACTAAGGAAAGTAAAGCCTTTTGGGTTCATTGGATGAATGGGCGTTCTTTTTTTGAATGTTTATTTTTGAGAGAGAAAGAGAGTGAGCGCACACAAGTGGGGGAGGGGAAGAGAGAGAGGGGAACAGGGGATCCGAAACACGCTCCAGGCTCCGCGCTGACAGCACAGAGCCCCGTATGGGGCTCAACCTTGTGAACCTCGAGATCATGACCTGAGCTGGAGTCGGATGCTTCACCAACTGAGCCACCCAGGCGCCTCTATGTTGTGACAGTATTTTTTTTTTAAGTTCCAGACCGTGTCACCGTAGCTTCTGCCACCCACCATCACACATTCAGGTATAGGTGGAGTTTTTTCTTGAGAGTGCAGTTCAGCACGCCTGCGTACAGTCCCCACAGTGGTCCTGGTTTGGCCGAAACGATAGGCACTGTAATATACACACATGATCAGTACACTCACCTACTTGGGAGTGAAGTCAGCTTTGGCCCGTGTCTGAGTTTCCGAGAATGTAAGCACCATGAGGCCAGGGCTTTGCCAGGGTGGTTCATGTCACATGTCACATGTCACCTGCCTGTAACAGTGCCGGTCGACCTGATGGCGCACAGTCCGAGAGGTGTAGCAGTTAGCACGACTCGACATCTGTGCATTATTGGGTGATTGCTCCCTCGGGTAGGGCATTTACCCCCTTGCTTTTAGGAATTGGGGTTATGTGCAGCCCTGATCATTTCCACAGCTTGTGGTAACGTTTAATGGGCTCACCATGGCGTCTCCCTTTCAGGACACAGTGTGGGGTACGGCTAATTGTTGATGTGCATATTGGTGACTCAGTTGTTAGCTCACAGAGTGTAAGTGAGGGAGAACCAGGGAGCGTGGCACACAGAGCATCACCAGGAAGGCAGGGAGCGGCCTGGCTGTGTCCTGATGCTGTGAGGACCCTGGCTGCAGGCTCCTCTCTGTGAAGGTGTCAACTTGGGGCAGCCATCCTCTGTGCGGGGGGGGAAGGGGGAGAGGGGCAGGTGGTGTATGATTCATGCTCGTGAGTCCGTGGGGGGTACAGAGGTGCCTTCCCTGAGGGTGTGTGTCCTTGCTGACATCTCAACCTTATTTATCGGCAGGCCTCAATTATGTTCTGACTGCTGACGTGGCCAAAAAGGCGAAGGGCCAGGTGCCCAGGGTCTACTTTGTGTTGCTGGGAGAGTCCGTGGGTCAGGTGACAGAGAAGCTGCAGCTGGTGCACATGGAGGAGACGTGTCATCACTACGTGGCCCACGTGAAGGTCAGTCCCGCTTTTTATTCGCCAGCCTCAATCTCTGTGGATATTCGTTTCGCACTAGTGGAAACTACTTTTGTGGGGTGTTGCGTATGCTCTGACTCCTATAGTTTTATTTCACAAGGAGGAGAACATGCATTTCTTCTTTTCAAGTTGGAGTCCGACAGCCCTTTTATTTATCTTACTGTGCTGGTCTCAGCTTCTCGGGCAGGGGTGGGGCATGGTGGGCCGGGAGACTAGCGATACTCTCTGACCTTGACCTGTCCGTTTGGGGGCTGCTCGTCCTCTACCCTCTCCGGACCCCGGCGGTCCGTCTGCTCAGGGAGCCGTAGAAGCACGTGTGGGCCTGCAGTGGTGCTGGACCGCCCCGCGCCTGATGGCTTTCTCAGCGGCCCGCTACGTGTTAGCGCAGAGTCACGGCTAAGGCATTTCAACACTAGTTGGTCTAGGTTTTTATCCCTTGATCACTTTCTGTTTATTTTAGGAGTGCTTTTTTTGGCCCTTTTCCCTCTTACTCTAAATAAACTTTAAAATGTTTTTTTCCTCTTGAGAGTGTTTGTTAAATACACTTTGCTGCTAATTCTAGAGGCCAGGCTTTGATTAGCTACGCAGTGGCCCCTGTGTAGACAGGTGCCGGCAGGGAGGGGTCCTGGTGGTGCCCGCGCCGCCGCAGTGCCAGCCACCCACCCGCAGGCAGAGAGCCCGGGAGATAGAAGGACCCATAGGAACCGGCCGCAGGGTCATAAAACGAATGTGGGTTTTGGAGTCACACAGACCTGGTGTGTGTCCATCGGGGTGAGTACTTTGACCTCCATGTGTCTTAGTTTGTGCATCTCTGAAGTGGGCACATATACCTGAAGGGCCTTGCATGAAGTCTGACTCCCAGCAGGCACTGGACTTTTTTGGTCCATATGTCATTGCCACTATTGTAGCATTCTTGACTGACAAAAATGGTATTTTCATGTAGCTCAACCTAACATTAGCCAGTGGCTTTCTGGACGATAGTAAAAATAGTCCACGGTGTAGAGTCTCATTCTGTCACTGAGTCATTGTACCAGGGCAGAAGAGTAACAGCTGCTTCTCGATGCTTCTGGATCATATGTAGAGAAGTGCCCCACATGTCCACGGGGCTCGGCCTGGCCCAGAGCCTGTGCGTCCGTGCCCCCAAGATGCTTTCCCGAGGGCTGGGCTGGGCTGTGTCTCATGCCAGAATTCGTGCCAGGGCCTGCCCAGCCCTGCAACCCTGTGGCCCCAGCGAAGGCCATTTTTAAAGTGGTTCATGCCCCTGATAAGCCACCAGCCACCCATGCCTCTGGATCTTAGATTACATTAGTTCATGGGCGCCCTTGGGGGTGGGAGGCTGCCCAGGACAGGGTCACATCTGAGCACTGACACCTTCGAGTGCCTGTGCTGGGTGCGTCCATCCTCCTCGGGGTGGGGGGCGTCTGCCCGGCTTCCTCATGCTGAGTCTCTCCCACAGATGCTTTCTGCCGGGACTCTTGGTGACGTCTCGCTTTGGTTGAGGGGTGACCCCTCGTGTCAGGCCTCAGGGTGGGGCCACAAAGAGCCTGCCGGCCTTTGCAAAGTGCACTCTGGGAGCAGCAGGGGTGAGGTGATGAGGGCTGTTTCCACGGTGGCTTCTGGGGGTAGGCGGCTGCCCAAGGCCATTGGTCTGGCTACTTCCTGATAGCCAAGGCGACCAGAGTTTAGCAAATAAACATAAAGACTTCCTGTTTAAGAAACAGTGAATAATTTTATTTTTTTTAGTAAAAGTGTGGCCCAAATAATGCACGAGATGTACTTACACCAAACATTCTTTGTTGTTTATCTGAAACTCGGATTTACCCGGGCACCCTGTTGGAAGATTCCGTCTTGACGATACCCTTCATCCCGCAGTTTGGCACTTCTCCATTCGGTCAAAACATGGTTGACAAGGGCTCCCTTCCCCCGGGTCAGCCGTGCAGTCCCGGAGTGGGCCAGGCGGGAACGCGGGCTCTGGAGCCGGCTGGGCAGCTGGTCTCCACGGGTCCCCGAGCTCATGCTCTCTCCTTGGCACCTGGGTGCCAGCAGTTTGGTGGTCATTGGCCCCGAGGGGCCCTCCCTGAGGGGACCCTGGACCATGGGGTTTCTGATCAGGATTGTGAGGATGATTCCGTAGAAGCCACACCCCCAGGGAGTTTTTAAAGCAAGTCATGGGGTACCTGTTGTGCTAGAATGAAATTCTAGAGGAGCATGGCCGTGGAGCCGATGGCAGAATTCCAGAATGGAGCCCTGAAGAACAAGGCTGGGGATGCGTTTGTCCGAGGAGACAGCAGAAGTGTGCGGAAGAGATACATACTTCGATGTATTCTTCTAATGAGATTTCTTCCTTCTTCTGTGATACAGTTTGTCCTGTTTCGTACTGGTTGGTGATTTTTCACTGGCATGTGAGCTAAATGTATATAGTTGTGGATTTAATTGTAAAGAGTTCTTCATATTGAGGTGTCATTTTCTTTTACCTCTGTGTCCGTGTGTAGAACCCAGAAAGAATTTAAAAAGAAAGAAAATCTGAAAACACAAGAGAAGCAGGCTCTCTCTCAGGAGGAGAGTCTGAGGGGCGGTCAGAAGGTTCTGGAGGGTGAGAGCAGCGTGAGCACGTACCGTAGGTGAGGATCTGGGTCGTCTTGGGGAGGACGAGACATTGGACCTAGAGGCGTTTGGATGGGATTCGCACTTGGCTGTCTTCTCACGCAAGGACGTGCGGCTGTCTGTGGTGCGGCCCAGTGGCCTCGGAGGCAGCAGGCCTGGCCCTGGTTTGTCCGTCGTGCGAGAACAGCTTGGGGAGCCGGGGCTCCTGTTGGCGTCGAGGCAGGCAGCAGGGAGGGGGGTGGCGGGGACCAGCTTCCCGGAGCAGGGGCTGGAGGCGGCGAGCTGGTCGTCCGGGAGGAGGGCTTGATGCAGCCTCTGCCCAAGTGGAGCCTTCTTGATGGGCTGGCTCTCGGCTTTGTAGACGGTGACGGAAGGTAAATAAGAGTGCTTGGGCTTATCGCACGCCGTGTGCCAGCAGACAGTGAGGCAGGCACTAGGGGCTGGGCGGGTTTCTAGCTCTGGGGTATTTGTTTTCTTTGTCGCTTTAAGCCGATTCCAGTCTTTTTCTCCCCCTTCTTTTCCCTAGACGTTTTCATTCCATATATGGCGATAAATATCTCTGTCTTGGAAGACTGTTTGAGCTAACACCTGCCTCCTGGCTAGCTGTGCTATCCCACGCTTTGTTCCTTCACAGCCCTGGGGGGGGGGGGCGCTCCAGGAGGGACAGGGTTTTGTGTTAAGTCCCATCCTCCCGGGGGGTCTGTTCTCGAGGCCTCGCTGTGGCCTGCGGAGCAGAGGTGGTTCCGGATGTTCCCTGGCCCCAGTTTAGCTCCCCTCCTCCCCCAGCCCAGCCCAGGCTTGGGGATCGGCTCCCTCCTAGTAATGAGGCGGCCGCAGCCTCTCAGGGGCCTGGCCTGTCACGGGTGGACACGCATTCAGCGTCGGCGCTCCCCGCGGCCTGGCCTCGGCTGGGGCTTCTGGATCCATAGCCCACATCACAGCTCATGTGCTCTGGGCTCCTGTCAAGGGGAACGGACTCCTTTTCTTCTGGAACAGGGCTCTCAAGCCTCTGCACCTCGCTTCTCCTGCCCAGCCCAGTCTTTGGCGCCTCAGTGTGTGCATAGCCACCTACGTGGTTTTTCCTTTTTTTTTTTTTTTTGTCTCAAACACGCCTCCTGTGGTATTTTCTTTGATAGTTTTTTCTTTAAATCGGCTGACTTTTTGCCCCAAATACAATAATTTGAAACAGAAACTTTGTGCCCTCCTGTGTGCAGAAAACCAGTGACTGCATGCCCAACAGAAAGCAGCTGTAAAAGTAAATACACTGAAGACAAAACAGTGTCCTCAGAGTCTAACTGGCTCTTCTCCTTTGCTGAAGTCTATGAAGAAGCAGCCCACTGGCCCCGTGGACGAGAAGGGGTTCTCACCGCGGCGTAGCTCTCCAAACATGTGGGTCCTGATGCAGTGCCGTGGAAAGCTGTTCTTGACCCTGTCTGGGAAGGCCTGGCCGTGCTCTGCTTTGATGGGATACCCCCTCCCCCCCGCCTGCTGAGGGTTGTCTGTTCAAGGCCCCATCAGGCCACAGATGGCTGCTGTCATGGGCCCCAGGGATCTGCCCATGTCCCAGGGGACCTTGTTCCATGCCACCTGATTCCTGCCTTGGGGGTGAAAGGCACACAACAAATGCTTATCCGACGGAGCCTTGTTGACGTGACTGATTGGTCAGCTGGGGCCTCGGGGCCCACGGAGTATCCGGTCGGGGTGGGGCCTGCCCGCCACGCCGGGAACCTGCTGCTGGGAGGTGGTGGCCTGACGGAGCGGGCCAGAAGGAAGGAAGACTTGTAGGTACATGGCCTGGGCTGAAGACTGAAGAACGGTGACCGGTCATGGCTCCGGTGTGTGTGTGTGTGTGTGTGTGTGTGTGTGTGTGTGTGTGTGTGTTCTCCTGGGTAACAACTGGGCTCGACCGTCAAGTCCCGCACAGGCCTGGGGAGGCCAGGCCTTGGGCGCTGGGTGTGAGGGTGTGCCAGGCGGCTGAGAGCCTGCCCAGGAGCCGGAGAGCCAGGCAGCGGCCGGGCTTCTGCAGGGAGGTTGGGGGAGGCCCAGGCGCAGCCGGACCGGGACCGGTTACGTCATTCCCAACCTCGAGTGTCAGCGACCCCTCCAGGAGCCTTCGGAAAATCTGCGGTGAGCAAAGTCATGTGTCAGACGCGGTCAGTAGGTCAGTAGGGCCAAGACCCAGGATTAATGGGACAGGGGACCCCCCCCTCCCACAGACAAGGGAATGAGAGCAGTCTGGCAGCTGCAGATGTGCACGCGCTGTGCTTTCCTAAGGCTTCAGACCTTAGGGTGCCGCGGCTCCTGTGTTGCTTGTGGGGGCAGGTGGGCGGCCTGGTCTGGCCAAGGGCAGGGCATCTCTGGCCACCAGCTGTCCTCAG